TGAAGAAAAAAAAAAATTGCCTGACACATTGAGCAAGAAAACCAAAGCAGCAAAACAGAAAAAAAAAATACAACTGGAAAGGATACCTTTTTTTTTCTTTCAAGGTCATTCGATAAACAGATTTTTTCTTTTTTTATTTGAAAAAAAAAAAAAAAAAAAAAGTTGTCAAAACAGCTTGTGAAATAACTCACGCATTTTTTTGCACATACATGCGCGCGTAGATTAGATACTCACCCGAACGCTCAGAATTGCGCGTTTTTTTTTTTTCTCTGCATGTATAGTCCCTGACTATACCCTGCCGTTTGCACGTCGCTACGCGCAGGAAAGTTGTCAGGTGGCAAACAAGAGGGCCAAGTAAGGCACAGCGAAGCGAAGCAAGGCAAAGAAGGTGTTGCCTAACGCAGCTCCGCCTAAGGCAGCCCGCATAAGGCAGCTCCTCAAAATATCGTTCTGTGAAGAAGCGCACACCCCACCCACCCTCCGAGATATATGTAACGAACCTAAGTGGGACACTCTCTCTGCCCCCTTCCCGGTCAAAAATGTTCCTGTATAGCCTGTTGTTCACCGTCGCGTACCTGATCAAATCGTCGATTTATTGCGCCCAGAATTTGAAGGGCCTCAGTTACTCCAATGTGGCGACCAAGTCGACGAAGGTGGGGGAGTCAGATGTGTACGTAGGTACGCATCAGTGCAAGGACCCTAATATGAAAAAATACACAAAAATATTCCAGCTACTGAATGAAAAGGGCAAGTCGATTGCAGACCAGGTAGCCGTCACCGAGCTGGAAGAATGTGAAGTAAAAAGAGAAACCACGTATGGAGAATTGTTTAATAAGGCTCTAAGTTTAAGTGAATATTTTAACGACAAGGATGAAGGGATACCGACGAAAAAGTACGACGAAGATTGCAACAAAGGCATGTTCAAACTTGTGGGGATCTATGGAGCCAACTCTGCCAACTGGTTGGTGGCGGACTTAGCAGCCATGGCTAGCGGAACCACGTCCCTAGTGATGCACTCCAAGTTTAGCATCGATGAAGTGTGCGAAATATTGAATGAAAGCAAACTGGAGTGGCTATGCATTGACCTAAACCTTGTCGAGTCGTTGCTCGAGAATAAGGAGAAATTACCATATTTAAAAAAATTGCTCATTTTGGACACTCTAAGTCATAGCACAAGTAAAGGAAAGCGAGTGAACCGCCCAGGGGCCGGTACCGAAACGAAGGAACAGAAGGAGAAACGAGAAAGATCGGAGAAGTTGGAGAAGCAGAATGACGATCTGTTTAAAAAAATGAAGACCAAAGCGGAAGGATTAGGTATTACCATGTGCAAGTTAGACGATTTCACAAACAAGAAAGTAACCAAGTTCACCCTAAAAGAATCTGATCCTGAACATATCTCGACAATTGTCTATACGTCGGGCACTTCGGGAAAGCCAAAGGGAGTCATGCTAAGTAATAGAGCCCTGTACTACACCTTGCTGCCAGCAAGTAAATGCAGCATCCTCCTAAAGTTCAATCCAAAACAGCATTTCTCCTATTTGCCCCTTTCGCACGTGTATGAACGAATATTGGCATACATCAGTCTTTATCAAGGATACCAAATAAGAGTATGGAGCAAAGACATTTCCCTTTTTTCGAAAGATCTAAGTCAGTGTGGTGCCAACATCATTGCGGGGGTACCCAAGGTTTTCAACAGATTGTACACGACGATCATGTGTGAGATAGCCAAGTTACCTCCACTTAAACGGTTTATGGTGCAGAAAATAATCGCTATGCGGAAGGAAAACAATTTCGGAGGATTCTCACAATTTCTGGAACGGATAACTCACGTGTCACAAAAAATAAGAGACAAAATTAATCCCTCCTTGGATGCATTCCTTAATGCAGGTGGAAAAATCTCACCCACTGTGGAAAGAGACCTAGCGGTTCTACTCAACATCAATTTTTATCAGGCCTATGGACTGACAGAGACAACTGGACCCATCGTAATTCAGCATCATTCGGATAATTCGACAAATAACATTGGAGGACCTGTGTCTCCATATGTACAGTACAAAGTAGTGACGTGGGAAAAGTATGACGCTAAGGGGAAGCCACCAAGAGGGGAATTACTCCTAAAGGGGAAACAAATATTCAGTGGCTACTTCCTTCGTAGAGAGCAAACAAAAAATGCATTTACAGAGGATGGGTTCTACAAAACAGGAGATGTCGTACAGATAAATAAAGATGGGTCGATGACCTTTTTGGATCGATCCAAGGGGCTAGTGAAGTTATCACAGGGAGAGTATATCGAGACGGAGATGCTAAACAATCTCTATTCAGACATCGATTTTGTGAATCATTGTGTCGTCTATGGTGATGACGCCATGGACGGACCACTCGCCATTATCAATGTGGACAAGGACTTATTCGCAAAATGTCTCGAAAGAGATGGGGTTCTAAAAGCACAAGGCATGACCGCTGCTGATTTTTTGAAGAATCTCAACGACGATAAGCTGAACAAGGAGGAATATCTCAAATATGTCCGAGAAAAAATGTTGCAAATGTATAAGACGACCAACCTAAATCGTTACAACATCATAAATGATATTTACCTGACCTGTAAATTGTGGGATACCTCCAACTATCTCACCCCTACCTTCAAGGTCCGAACCTTCTATGTCTTTAAGGACTTTCACACCTTCATTGAGAAAATCAAGAAGGGGTACATGGATAAGATGAAAGCGACTGCTAAATAATTGCGGCAGATGAAGCAGACCAGCGATTGTCGACCGCCCACTGTTTACCACTGATCGATCCGTGTTCGAGAAAGAGAACAAAATTTTCGCACCCACACCACCATGTGGAGAGAAGTTCCTCTGTGGTAGTAGGGCAGCAAGGAAAGGGACAAGGAAAAGCGGCAAGGAAAGCGGAAAGCAGCGCAGCAAGTAACACCCCCTTCTTTTTTTTCTGTGCGTACCAGTAGAGGACCCCTCCGAAGGAGTGCCGAGAAAGACGTTAGCAATAAGGAGTAGTAGGCGTTGTAAAAACAGGGTGGCTATATATAGCAAGTTCCCTACGCTGGTGCGGTGGCGCGGTCCTGTTACGATTCCGTTGTACGATATTGTACAGTATCCTCCCACGTTTTTCCATCCCTCAGTGTTCATATTTTTCATTTTTTTTTTCATTTTTTTTCATTTTTTTTTCATTTTTTTTTCATTTTTTTTTTTCATTTATTTTTTCATTTTTTTTCATTTTCCTTCATTCGCGCGGTCCTCCCGCCCAGGAATAGGCCGGCCAATCGCATGAATATTTGTAGACAGCTTTTCCCGCTTCATCATGTTAACCACCCTGCGCGCGCACATGCAGGCCTACTCATATGTGAGCACTCGCGGCATTTCTTGCGCAGAGGGGAAAGCGGCGGACTCTGTATACGCCCGTCTCTCCGCCACGTCCCGTTCGTTTCGTCGCTTTGATATTTCTGCACCTTTTCTTTGCGTACTTTGTTTGTGCCACCCCCGTGGAATACAGCACCCGAAGTCAAGAAGAAAACCCTCCACGGGGAAGAGGAACTTCCCATAGAGGATAATCCTCGCCTCGTCCCCTTTTATTTTATTTCATTTTGATTCTCCTTTTTTCTTTTCTTTTTTTGTCCCTACAAAAGTTCATCGTACAATACATCGTGTAACATTTTGTGTACTACATTGTACCTATCGTTAATATGATGTTCACTTTGAATATAGCCTTTTTCATAATTGCATTTTTAAAGACTAAAACAAAACGTTAGTTCGAGTTTAATTTTTTTTTCTCTCTCTCCGCGTGGAGCGCGCAATATGGTGCGCAATTTTCTGTGCAGACATGTGTGCAAATTTCTATGCAGACGTGTGGGCAGGCTAAGGAGAGACGTCCTCCGCGGTGGCATGTCCGCCAGGACGTTAGGCCCATCTTTGAACCTCACCTCACCCCCCATTTCAATCGGTGCTAGGCGATGTTAGTCGATGTCCACTTCTGCCCAGTGTTGCCATGTGCTACCCCCCGCTAACCAAGCCTACTTGCTCGAGGGAAGCGGTAGGACGTACAAGGTTCCTATCGTATCGATGCCCAAGATTCGTATGTCGTTCTTCCGCGCCTTATTCGCCTTGCCCGGCTTGCTCGGCTTGCCGCTCCTGTTGGAGCCATTCTCAGTGAGCAGATCCTCCCCATCCGGTTGATGGTAGAACTGCGCCAGGCAGATGTTATACTCTCCGGGGGTGTTTATCTGCGAGGGGAATTGCGCCGCGACATTTTTCTGCATCCATTCAAGCAGCGGATGTTCGCGCAGTGGGTGTGCCTGAAGTGGATGTCCCCGCAGTGTGATCTCCGCTCCCTTCTTGCCACAGGTTCTACCACTCGCGCCTCCCATACCTTGATGTTCTCCAGGAGAATCTCGTTGTGGAGCAACTTGGTGAAGACAGGCTCGAGCAGGATGTCTTGGGACTCCAAAATGTTTTTTTCGATGGTGCTTGGGCTGCGTGTGGGGGGGAAGCGACAGTGGGAGGAGAGGGGATAAACAATTCGGTGAACTGCCAATCAAGCGACGGTCATACTGACAGAGGGAGAAGGGGGGAGGAAACCACCCAGAGAGTGCCACTCGAGTGGACTCCAAAAATAATTTTTAAACATTACGAGCACATGGATCCCTTATTGACAACGAGCATCTGCAGACATTCGTGCAAGTTATATCCCTATAAAGGAGGGGAGAGGGAAGATGGAAAAAATGCCGCAGCGCCTGTCGAAGAAATGCCCCAACAGTGGTGGTGTTTTCGGATGTGTCCTTCTTGACTCCCATGTGTAGAGGCCAAATGGGAGCTCTCTTTTTTTTTTTCTTCCAACTCGAATGCTGATAAATTGAGGTGTCTGTCCGCGTTCCCCCTGAAGAAGTGTCGAGAATAGTTGCGCGTGTTTGCATGTACAGAGGGGAGGAATTGGCCCATGTGGGCATCAACACTCCCAAATCGGGGCCATTTCATTTCAGCAGCAGTACCGAGGCAAAAATAGAATATTTTTTGTTCCTCTCCGGCTCAGCTATGGCACAGTGGTGGAAGTCCTGCAGGATGGCGGGGGGAGCACCACAAAGGGAGGAAAAAAAAAAAAAAAATATATATATTATATATACCAAACCGTATATAAAACAGCGCCAGTGAATCATCCAATGTGTTACAAAAGGAGAGTATCTTCACTAACAGGTGGACATGTGCCGCTGTGCAGGTCCGAAAACGGCTCGCAGATTTTTTGAATTTGACTTCCTCTCTGCTCTAATTTCTGCAACGCGCGGAAGGAAAGGAGAATAAATTCATTTCGATTCTCAATGACATTGGCCCACACTGGTGTCACTTTTGCACAAGCAAATCGGCACAGAATATTTGCACGTCGCGGTGCGCGCCTTGTCTACTTCTCATCCCCTTACGTAGCACTGAGTTGGGTGATTCGGCTTGTTGTGGCAGCTCTTTCTGATGCAATCTGAAGGGGGAAAGGAAAACAATTTCGAGAGAATCGTTTCTTTTTCTTTTTTTTTTTTTTTTATTTTCTTTTATCTGTCTTCATGCACTAGTGGGGAACTGTCATGCGTAACTGCGCTGGCAGTGACAGTGGCTGCATCTCGATGAAGTGCACGCACCCATTGGACAGAACAACTTGTTCTTCTTTTCATCTCCTCCTAAGGGATAAAATGGGACGCAAAAAAAAAAAAAAAAAGTGAGCCCTTTCACCTTCTCGTTGCACGTGAACCTACGTCATTATGTTGTTACTACATTTTTTCCCTTTCTTTTTGTATTACTGTGATTGGTTCCGCTGGATACCTTCTCTTCTTGCGCTTTCTGAAAACACCAAATAGGGGAAGCAAACATTTAAGACGCGTTTCCACCATGTTCAGGCAAAAGCGTGGAAAAAAAAAACAAAAAAAAAGCCGCAAACCATCGGCGTGTCAAGTTGTACACAAAGGGGAGATACAACACATTTGGAAAGAGACAAGACTTTTTATTTTTTCCTCTATTCTTTTCTCTCTATTTTTCCTCTCTATTTTTTTCTCTCTATTTTTCGTCTCTATTTTTCCTCTCTATTTTTTCTTCTCTATTTTTTCCTTTTTTTTTTTCTCTTTTTCACCTCTCCATTCCGTGAGTCGTATTTTGTTGAGTCGGAGAAATTCACCAATTGGTAGCCTGCAAAAGGGAGTAATTAATGAGATGTGCCCAAGGGGGAAAAAAAAAAGAAAAAATAAGCAAAAAAAAATAGAACAAAATAGAACAAAATAGAACAAAATAGAACAAAACAAATGGAGGCCAAGAAGAGGAAGCCCCTTGAGCATATAGCCCTCTACACACGTAGCACACCTCCCACTCTCACCATTCTCGTTAATATATTTTTGCAGCGCTACATCCGATGAGTGTTTCAACTTTCTTAAATCTTCATTGATCTGAAATGTGGGGAAAATGGTTTGGTGCGTCGTAATGGAAGTTGTCCATTTTGGGGGGCTCCCCTGATTCGATGGGGATGAAAAGTAACCTTCTTCACATTCACGTCTTGGTGTGGCATTTTCCTTTCCCCCTGTGAGTGTGTGCACACATCCACTTACCTTCATCAGTCGCAGGGTCACTATCTCCACCGCCTGCTGTATGAGGTCCTTGTACAATTTGTACTCCTTGATCCTGCCCATGGCTTCGAACTTTAGCTTGAGTTCTCGCTGCGCGGTGGGGAGTGTCACATGTGATGCGGCGTGTTACTTTGGGTGCGAAGCTTACGTTAATAGTGCCCCGCTCTTCTACCAATCACGCCACGAAAGGGGACGAGACCCACCCCCTTGCGGGAAAACCTATCTCCCTTACGTTTTTCAAATCCTTGTGGCGATTCAACTTGTCCTTCAGCCCATGCAAAATGACATCAACGTTGGACAGATTTTTGTGCATTTTTTTGTCCAGTGTGTACATGCTGGATTCGTAATTCTTTCCTCCTGTTTTGCTTCGTCTTTCGTTCTGCTTTTGGCCCTGCGTTTGGCTCTGCGTTTGATCCTGCTGCTGTGAGGGGAGAAGTGAGACAGAAGGGATGGTCACGAAGAGGAAAGAAACCATATTGTGCGGCAGAGCGAATAGCCCCTCTATGCCCCGTCAAAGGCAATCCCTTACGCGGTGTCCATACAGTAGTGTCACCCTCTGAGGATACTCCCTTCTAGTGTCCCCACTACATTCGTGTTCTCTTTTTCTGGGAAAAACTTACCTGGTTCAACTGGGAAGCAACAGCTGGGGGTGGTGATACCTTCTCCAATGTGCTCTTCTTTCCAATGGAGGCTTCCTCAGTGGGGGGGACTACCTCGTGTGGATTGGCTCCTCCATGTGATTCTTCGTTCTTCCGATGTTTACCCTTTTGGAGAGCCTCACCTGTGTGTATATCTGAATTAGTTGCTGCGCCCCCTTCAGGTCTCCCCCCTTGGGGGGGGTTTTCTTCAACGCTATCCCCGGGTGGGATTTCATTCTTGCCTATGCGTCCTTTCCCTCCTTTGTCCGTCTCCTCGCCCTCTTCCTCATCTTCCCCACCCTCTGCATCGTCATCACCCTCGGCATCACTATCGTCATCATCATAGGCATGACCATCAGCATGAGCATCAGCGTCACCATGACTCCTTTTTTCTTTCGTTTCGCCTGCATTTTCCTCCCCGTGTGGCTCCTCCTTATCCTTACTCTCTGTTTGCTGTTTGTTACCTCCTTTATCTTCACTTTTTTCGCCCGCTGGGTTTTCTTTGGCCATGTCCCCTTTCATATCCTTTGCACTTTGCATGTTGTTGTTCTTTGGGAATCCTTTTCCCTCCTCCGGATTTCCACCTTTGGACGGGCCCCCCTTCATCTCTACCCCATGGTTGTTGTCTTTCTTTGGAGGAACTATTTTTGCCTGGTCCCCATTTGTGTCGCTATTGGGCTTTACACTCGTCTTTGCGTCACTTATCTGTGTTGGGCTATCGATGGGAATCTCTGTTTTTTCCTCCACGACAATCGTGGTGGTGCTCTTTTGAGCCTCCGCTTTGGTTTCTTCTTCACCGTTCGTATTGGTACCAGGTGGCAATCCCCTCTTGTCTTCTCCTCCATTTGAAGCATTTTCCTTTTTTGAGTCCACTTTTTTTTTAGCCATCACAGTATTATCAGTGCTTTTCGAACCGTCCTGATTTGAGTCCACTTTTTTTTCTGCCATCACAGTATTATCAGTGCTTTTCGAACCCTCCATTTTCGTCGCCCCTTGGTGATTACTCTTAGTTTTGTTTCCTCCTTGCGTCTCCTCCTCATCGTCCTTTTCTTCTTCATCCTCTGCATCGTCCTCATCCTCTTCCTTCTTTGCATCCTCCTCTTCGTTTGCATCCTCTATATCGTCTTCCTTTTCTTCTTCGTCTTCTTTCTCCTGCAGGTGATCCTTTTCTCCTTGGGAGGCCCTTTGGTTTGCGTTTTGGGCGTCACTTAGTTCCGTTGCTTTGGCGTCCTTTCCGCCTGCCGCTTGGGCGTCACTTTGTTTCGCTGCATTGGCGTCTTTTTGGCCTGCCGTTTGGGCGTCGGTTTGACTTACGGTTTTTCCTCCCTTTTCACCTTCACTTCGTTGATGCGCCTTCCCTTCCACCTGAACTTCCGTTTCAATGGCCCCCCTCACGATCTTTTTCCCCTCCTCTTTCGTCTCCGTATTCCCTCCCGGGGCGCAATTCTCATCGTCGTCTTTTGTGGCACCCATGTTAAGAGGTGTGTTGTCCTTCCTCTGATTTTCCTTTGGTCGGTTCGTTTCTTGAATACTCTGTTGTTCTTTTGGGGGGGGTCCCTGCGGTTCGCTCTTCGGTTCGCTGCTCGGTTTGTCCTTCTTCTCATTGATTGCCGCAGCGCTTACCGTATCGCTGAGCTTCCCTCCGGCAATCTCATCAGTCGCCGCCACTCCGCCTGCCTCATCCTTGTCCACATTCAGGCAACTGTTAATTGTGCACTCCTGGAGGAAACTCACCTCTGATGGGAGGTTTGTCGAAGAGAACTCCGCTTCGCTTCCATAGTTACTTAGTTGTTCTGCGTCCCCCTCGAGTGGGGTTTCTGTTTGGGGGGAGAAGGGGTCACCATTGGGTGTGTCATCCGATTTGTCCCCATCCCCCTCGTGTAAGTCCAAGTGGTAGGGGGTGATGGATGTTGTGGGTTCTATGAGGGAACAGGAGGGGCCAAGGGAATGTGAAGAAAGGGCAAGGGAATGTGAGGAAAGGCCAAGGCAAAATGAAGAGGTCACGAAGCGAATGCAGAACGCGCAAAGAATCGTTTTATCAAGTGCCCCCTTGTGGAGACCCTCCTTATCGCTACCTTTGTTCCTTAGAAGCCCCTTTGCGCACAGAAGCAGGAACAGCAAAAGCAGATATTGCATCTTGTCCCGGCTTCGTCGGTGACATTAAGGGGAGGAGCGTCGCCTGGGGGAATGCCTCTCGAGTGGACACCCCTCAGGGAGCAACGCAGGGGGATAGACAAACCGCCTGACAAATCGCCTAAAAAATCGCCTAACAAATCGCCTGATAAATCGCTTGGAAGATCACTTGGCAGATGACCGTTTCGGCCGACATTCGACCCGGTCGCCCCCTGCGCACACCAAGTGTTGGCACCGCCTTATCCGCTGCGTCTTTTTTTTTGGGGGGGGGCCTCTCTACGAAGCGCACCGTCCTCGGGGCTAAACATTCATTTGGTGTTCCCCAGTAGACAGCGAAAATGTGTTACTCCAAAAAAGGGAAAAAAAAAAAAAAAAAAAACAAAAATATAAAAAAAAAAAAATATATATATATACATATATATATGCACAATGGATGATCCTGTTCTTTCCTCCCCCCTGTTGCAAAACTGTCGAAGGGAATTCCTACGGATCCGTCTGTTGCGCGTGTTTTCCCACGTTGGGGTGGGGGTCAAAAATGGTGCAAATTTTTTTTTTTTTATCTGTCTGTTCTTAATTTGTGAGTATTTGCCTTTGGGGCGAAAGAAAATGATGACACACACACACGTTCGCGTAAAAGCATGCGTCCACATTGACGTATATTTGCGAGTGCTACCTGCGTGCTGTGCATGTGCGCTACGTATGTGCATACACATGTGACCAGTGACCCTGCGAGGTGGTGAAGAAACCTGGGGGATACTTTCACTCGGCGCTGAAAAGGCGCATCATACACGCATGATCGATCGGATGATGGCATACCCGCATGATGGCATGCATTCGGGGACACCTACTCAGACATGACGCCGAGTGGACATATTTCCGTAAAACGTGGGACGGGGGGCTAAGAAATCTTCCTCCACCCAAAAAAAAAAGAACAGAAAAGTTGTATGCATTTGTAGTGCATTTGGTCTATTTGTTGTTGATTTCACGGGGGTAGAAAAAAAGGGGCACATGAGAACGCGGAAAGATCGGCACATGGAAAAAATGAAAAAAGGGGACGGGAAAAAAGGAGGTGCCAGAAAAAGACGTGCGAATGAAAGAGGTCTGAAAAAAAGAGGTGAGAAATAGGGAGGTGAACAAAAGAGAGGTAACCAAAAGGAACTGCACCAAAGGAACTGCGCAGAATGGACGGATGCACACTCGCATTTGCCCAACACTTGCGCATTCTTCCCCACGAAACAACACACCATCGCGGCGCGCCACATCGCGTGGCACTTTCCTGCGCCGTCCTCTCCCCCCCCACCAGCTCTCAAGGTTTAACACCGATTACGGGTAAACAAAAACAGAAAAATTAAAAATATACTTGGCAAAAGCCTAAATATACAGTGAAAAAAAAAAAAATCATAATTAAAAAAATGACTGACCAGCAAACTTCTGCTGGGTTGCTGTGGGGGGGGGAGAAGCGGCATAGGACAGTGTACCATTAGGTCATCGTGTGTGGCACGACGCGGTGGGGGGGGAAAAGAAAAAAAAAAAAAAAAAAAAAAAAAAAAAAAAAAGACGGACAGACGGAAGGACGGAGCGCAAAATGAACGCAGAGAAAAGGGAAGAGGGGAGAAGGAGAAAAAGCGACCCCAAAAATTCCCCCCAGAGTGCAAATGGGGCGGCTCGACAAACACACAATTTTTGCCAGGTGAAGATGACCATGTGGGGAATTAAACGATTGGGGGTGAAAAAAAAAAAAAAAAAGAAATTAACAAATGAAACAAATATCGTCTCGCTGCCACATGTTGGATTTTTTTTTCTTTTTTAACTTAATAATATGCTTCAGATCTAAACTATCGCCGGAGGGGCAGCTCGGCACAAAAAATTGGACCCACTGTCGAGATGACCAGTGGGCTGGGTCTGCCCAAACAGGGGGGAAGAGAGGCTGGCTTTCCACATGTCGGGCGCAAAAAAAAAAAAAAAAAACTTCTGCAGACACTTCGACCAAACGTGTAGTCAACTTGCACATAAGGATCGCTTCACAAGGAGGACGTCACAAATCGTGGTAATTCATCGGCTTGCAGGAGAAGCCGGCGAGCGCATTCTTCGAAATGATGTAGTTTATAAATGCCTCCAAGTTGTATTTGTGGTTCTTCCAGACGATGAAACGCTTACGTTCAGCGAGCATGTTGTTTACCTTCTCTTGCACGCGCTCCTGCACATCGTCCAGCTGAATGTCTACGTTCTCAATTATGTCATTATGTTTTATGACCTCAATTTTCGTTATCTTCAAATCTTTTACTACAATATCGGTGATGTAGTTGGGGGGCTTTCTATCATTACAGTGAGCAGACATGGTGATGGAGAAGGTGGGTTTACTTCCAATGAGGAAGGCATAGGTGCTGATGGGACAGAAGTTGGTTCCGATGCAGAGCTTTAAAAAAAGGGGGCCAATTATATGCTTGAAGTAGCCATCCAAAATTAAGTTGTACTTTCCTTTGTCATAGTAAAAATGAAGATTGGCTATTTTGATAGAACTGATTCCTTGCAAAAAGAGGAGGGTGGCATGGTAAAATGTTTTTTCCTCGTGATAAATATGTCCTACATTGTAACAGGGCTCCTTTGCCAGGTACTTCTTCGTTTTGCATTTCCCTATGCTGTTAGGAATGAGCGAATGAAAATGGGCTGACTTAAAAAAGTTGTTAAGCCTTTTATTCACTGCATCCATGTTGAAGCGGAATATCTCCTCCCTCTTAAAGAATACCCTCATCGTGGTGATAAAAATTAGAAGAAAAAGAAATCCGTGAAGGAGGAGAAAAACTAGTGATACTTTTTCTGAACCTCCCACTCCTAGTACTTTCTTCAGGAGTCTTTCAAGGAGGCCACCAAAACCTTTTCCTCCTCCTGCGCTACCACCTCCCTTGTTCTTCTTATTTTTCCTCTTCTCCAGATGGAATAGCAAAATGGATTTTACTGGCATAAATTTTTTCAAATACCCCTTCGGGTCGCTCTTAAAAGTTATTCCTTCTTTGGAGGCTTCTCCCGATTCGTCTTCGTCCATTTGGTTTTCCCCTCCAGAGGTAGTCACTCCCTCTCCGTTGGACTTTTCTCCTTTCCCCGGGGCGTCTGAACTTTCTGATTCCCCCGCGACGGCCAGTACGCTGGGGGAGTCGTCACCTTCCTCCTCCTGCTCCTCCGCCTCTTCTGAGGGGTGACCCTTTTCACGGCCCCCTGAACCATCACTGAGTGCACTTCGCGGAATGCGCGCGGTGCCTCTGTTAACAAAGCATTCATCTTGGTTGGGGTTTCCTACCCCTCTATGGTCCTCCGTTGACATTTCCATTTGTACGTCCGTTCGTACGTCGGTTCGTACATCCGTTGGCACTGCCGTTGTTGCCGCGGTTTCGGCAGCTATTGTCCCTGCTGTTGTCCCTGTCGTTGTCGCCGCGGTTCTCGCTGCTGGCTGCGCCTGCCCCTCCTCGGCGCTGAACTGGGATTCTCTGTCCGAAATCAAGTTGAAACCGTTTATCTCGTCGTGGTCAATGCGTGTGTTCTGATAGCCTAGGCTGGTGTCATTCTCGTAGACGCGGTGTATCATCATGGTCTGTACCACGTCGGTGTGCTCCTTGGTAATGTGATTGTGCTTCATCGACGAGGAGAAAAAGTGTTCCTTCTTCAGGAGAAACTGAAAGAAGTAGGAGTAAATGGGGACGTGCCAGTGCTCGTGCTTCTGAATATTCAGATCGACAATTTCACTGTAGCGGTTATTTTGAAAAAGGGCGATCCTCTTCTTCGTCTTCTTCAGCTTCTTCACGTAGAGCTCCCACTGACTCACATACAGGTTTATCGAAAGGCACAACAGTCCGTACACAACGAAGAGGAAAAACTTGCAGAAGCTTATTGTGTTGCTTTTGTATAGGACTAGAATGTTCAAATTATTGGTGTTCTTGACTATCTGATAAAAAGTCAGCAACGAGATGGAGATGATTTCTCCCAAAGATATATGCATACAGAAGGAACAAATGGAGGTGAAAAAAACGGAGAGGGAGAAATAAAAGTTTAACATCCTATTGAAAATAAAACTAGTGTTTATGTCTTCACTTTTACTACTCGAAATGGTACTATTATTTGGAGACGTCAGATCATCCGACGTGTTAGACAAACGATCATTCTTCTCAATCTCCTTCTTTATATATAAATAGTTATACCGCTCTGATACCATCATCTTCTGATTGTCCTCCACCTCGGGACTAAACACTAGCTCGTCATTCAACGCAGACATCCTCTTGTATAGACGAGAAAAATTCACATAATATAGGTTCATAAATAGAACACTTAGAAAGAAGCACAAGGCAATGAGGACTGGGAAGATAAATGGTAACATCACGAAGAAGGGGTAAATGTAACTTCTGTTTATCTTCAGCTTTAGGATGTTTAGCATGTCAATGAAATCGATTAAAATTCCCTCCACGTTGAAATTGAAGTAGCTCAGATAGATGTATATTCCCACCATGCTGCATTCTATCGCTGTTATTAAATATACACAGAGACAAAGGAAGAGGAAAAGGAAACACGCATACCCTATCTTTATCATATTCAATCTGCATTGATGGAAGTTTGCCTTCAACAAGGAGTTAAACTTTTTTTTTTTTAAATATATATATGCGTCATTATTTTTCATCACTTTGTAGAGGTAGTTTATATTATTCAATGTTTGTAGCTTGTTATAACATAACAGTTGCTTCTCGTACCTTTCATGTGCCTGGAATTCACTTCCTTCCATATTTTCATTCTTCTGACTTAGTCCTCCTCTTTCATAGAAGGTACTACTAATATGCTCATCTTCGCATCCCATCATCCCTGGTTCTCCTTTCCAACTACCACTCCTTCTTTGCTGCATCCCTACGCTATATTGAATTTCACGTGAATGTGTCCCTCTCTGGTGCACGCTCGGAATGGAAGGATCACGATGTGGGAACCGACGATGGGACATTCCAGGATGGTACATTTCACGCTCGTACACTTCACGCTGGTACACTTCACGCTGGAACACTCCACGGTGATCAATCATTCCTGTCGCTCCTGGTAGAGAATCTCCTCGGGGAGGCGTTCCCTCCTCATGGGAAACTTTTTTTTTCCCGGCTCTTCTGTTTTTCTTCGCAAAACCCATCAAATGCGCTCCCTTTGGTAAAGCGGAATCAGGGTAATCTGGACTGTTTACCCCATCACTGTCATGGTGTTCTTCCTCTTCCTCTTCTTCCTCGAGGTCTTCCCCTGCCTCACGTGCGAACTGAGTTTCATTGACTCGGCTAAGGGCTGGGTCTTCCTCCTCGTTCCTCAACTGGCCACGATGGGAGACATGATGGGACAGTGGCCCAGCCCTTACGCAGTCCAACTTCCTATCGTCCCGTGGATCCTGATGCAAACTATTCCTCCCATTTAGACGCCCCTCCGCAGGCAACGAATATATTTTTATGTTTCCCCTTTTAAATATACGAATTTTAAGTGACGTCAGTGTGAGGAGGAAAAAAGAAGAAATGGTAGAAAGCAGACAGTAGTTTAAAAAGTGGTATGCGCCACTTAGGATTTTCGCCTCCAACAAGTAGAGATTTAAAGAAGACACGATGAAAAGCGAAATGAACACGTCAACAAATTGGAACCTCGAAATGGAACTCAGGATGCTGAATTTTTTCAAAATAAATTGCTCATTTTCGTTCACAGTGTTAATAAAAAAAATATCATCTTCCTCCTCTTCCGATTCCTCCTCCTCATGTTGCAGATTCAAATTGTACAACTTGAAGAAACAGTAAAAATTGTCGCTCACCATTATGAACTTTAAAATGGGGATGATTATCGAAAAGAGCAGCAGCAGCGCCATGTTGAAATAACTCTTGCTTGTAAACAGTAGCCATATTGATTCGAGGATGGAATTCTCGTATACCTGTGTGGTGTCCGCAATGACGTCTGCAAAAGGGAAGAAAAAGAAAGGGGGTGGGAAGTAATTGGGGCTACTCCAAACGTGTCGTGTACAATGGGATAGATTTGACCCTCAACTTGGCACATCGCTCAACGGGACGTGTCGCCCCACTTACTTCCGTGAAAGACGATCTTAACCGCAGGGTTAATAATCCCATTGAAGAAGAAAAAGTAAGAAATGTAGAACAGAATGAAGGACAAAAACAAGCTGTTGTTAATTATGTAAATCTTCCTCTTGCTCGAAATGGTCAGCTTCCGTGCGATCTGCTCCCTACACTTCCTGTAGATATTGTTCAGAAACGGCGTCATTTTGGGCACGGTTTTTTAGGGAGCAGGTTTTTCGTGTGCGAACGATTTAAGGAAGCGGCAGCGGAGGAGTGCGGTGCGGAATTCGATGCGTAACACATTTGCGTTTATGGTCTTTCGCCTCTTCTTGTTTTTCTTTTTTCATTGTAGGCGGGAGAACCTCATGGATTCGAAGCTTTATGCTTGGTAAAACAAAGAAAGCTCGGGTTCATGGTTAGGTGGCGGGGGGGGTGCGGCAGTAGGGTGGGAGTAGCGTTTGAGTAGCGCGGGAGTAGCAGATGGAGTATCGGATACCGTGTCAGGGCGCGCGGTCGTACGCCATCAAGCGGAGGCGCATGAAAGGGGTGAGTCCGCCCAGGCGAATGCTGCTTGGCGGGTACTACTCAACTTCGCTGCTCAACCGAAGCCGCTCAGCCGAACCCACTGCGAAAACACAAACAACTGCGCATACGTTCTACGGGAAAATCGATCCACAACGTAAGGACGCAAAAACACGCACACACGAATGCTTACGTGTAAATGTCCCCCTTCGGCAGGGGGAAAAAAAAGGAGAGAATCAAAAAAGTTAATTCGTGCCGATGAAATTTTGTAGATAAACGTTTCACGCATATATACATTGAGAATACAATGAATGCGCTCGTATTGGTACTGCCATGAATGGTTATATATTATTATATACTTGACAGAATGGCATGGAAAATCTCAAAAAAAAAAAAAAAAGAAAAAAAAAAGAAAAAGCGAACAGGTAGAATAGCGTAAGTGGCGCCGCACAGCATCATCAATATATATGACGTGCATAAACGCATAATGCCATGCGCGTAAACATTTTGTGGGGGAAACCATTTGGCGAATCTATTGTAGGGAAAAAGATGTAGAAGATGATTGAAAAAAAAAAAAAAAGATGCCATACGAATAATGCGTATAGTAACATATAATATACAATAAATATTGATGGTGCGCGCCCCTAGGCCAATCGCTTCGCTTCGTGAACGCACTCCTGAACAGGGACGCTGTGCGCGTGGGGAAAAGAACGTCCGCAGAGGGAGTTACCATCTAAATTTTGTGCACTTTCGGATAAGTACGTCCTACGTAAAGGTAAAAAGATGATCAGTCACCATGCGCACGACAACACTATACATATGCAATCGATTCTGCCGCAGAGGTGAACGACCGGCAAATCGACAAAATTGAGGGAGAGAAAAAAAAAGGGAAATTATTATCCAATTCTGTAATTTTTTCTGTCGCATCCATTGAAGAAATTTTTCGCAATTGCGACGTTTCTCCTATTTTCACCTTTACCATCGCGCAGCCTTTTCGACTAAGTGACACAAACACACACCTTAAAAAGGCGAATCGTTGGAGCTGCCCCCGTTTGGAAAGGTTTCCGCAACAGGCGGGGGGGATGGATGTACACATATATGCGTAATCGCAACCTACACCAGAATTTGTCCTTCATGGCCAACCTATTTTCATGAATATATTTTTTTACAGTTGTACGAACCGATCCAACTGTGTGCTAAGGAAAGAAAAAAAAATGGCTCCTCTTTTCGGGGGCGGAATTTCCCCCCCCCCCAATTTAGGGAAAAAAAAAAAAAAAAAAAAAAAAAAACGCCGCGCTGGAAAAATGAAAATAAACCGAATGAACAAGTGCAAAACAGTCGTTGGAACAAAAAAGGGGAAACAATTCCCAGTTGGACACTGTAGAGGGGAGTGTACAATCCCCCGCGCGTAAGAGAGAAAGTTACACAAATGGCCAAACGTACTGTGTAATTCATTTTTCCAATTGTTTGCAAAAAAGTTAAGGAGTAGCAAAGGGGGTGTACATTTTAAGAAGTGGTACTTACTAACCTGTGCCCCTGTTGAAGTTTTCAGCCCATTTAATCAACTTTCTCGGAAAAGGTGTTGGTTCACTGTTCGGTTAGATGGTGTGAAGAAAGGAGGCCAACACCTCCCCCCCGGGGAGTGTTTCAACCTTTGGAAAAGCAAACGTGTGTCACCCTCCGGCGTGTTCGCAGGTGGAAGTAGTCATATAAGTGACATCCCCGTGTATGCGTCAAACGTGTGGTTTTCCCGTCCAACCTGAGGAACTGTTCGTGCCTTCTCCTGCCCAAAAGAAAAAAAAATAAAATAAAGAATGCAACATATAACGATGCAGTTGTGTTGCTAAATTCCGCCTCTTCCTATAACACCCCAGAATTGCACTGGAATGGCCTCCATTCCTCGCCGAAATGAACAAATGCGTTTGCAGAAACCCGACGAGGTGAATTTCACGCGGTGTCCGCTCCTCCCCGATGAGCCACCTTCTCTTCATTTCCTATTCTCCAACGAACGGTTTAATTACGCACAACCGCAAATTCCAGACTTATCCCTCCCCCCCTGGATGTTGTTTTCCAATTTGGGAAAATTCACATAAAGCACCCATACACAGAGGGTAAAAAAAAAAAGAAAAAAAAGAAAAAAAAGGAAAGAAAGGAAAAAAAAGGAAAAAAAAAATTATTTCCTGTTCAGAAAAAAAAAATTACCCCTTTTTAACCATTTCTTAGCCATTTTAAAGCTAGCTGGGAAAAAAAAAAGAATAAAAAAGCTTGCTGGGCAAAAAAAATAAAAAAAAAAAAGGACACCTAACTATGTGTACATAATTATGAACTCACCTATGCGCACAATTATTTTTCCCGCCGCGGGCACGCGCAAGTTCGATCTGCACACAGGATTAATCTGAGCCCTTCCGAGGAGAAATACACTTCCCTCCATTTCGCGTAAGCAGTTGTCCCTATGTCTCACTCTCTGTATGTGTGTGCCTATTTGTGAACCCTGCCCATGCATGGTAATAGGAGAAGTGCCCACACACTTTTGCATTTATTGGAGAGAAAAATCAAGGAGGCCCTTCCGAGTTTCATCGCAGAAAGGTCTACATTACTTACAAGACAAACGTGCATGTTCGTAGTGAAGCGACTTCGCCTTTTTTGTTGTTCTCCCCCTAAATTACTGTTACCAATTGCGCAACATGATTGAGTCGTTCCCAAGTAGCGCTTTAAACGAGTTCCGCTTAAGTGAAGAACAGATCATCGAAGATTTCACGCGCAACCGAAATGGTTCGAAGCAGGATGCGCCACAGTTGGTGTGTGCCACCAAAAGGGACGATGACCCCTTGAATGAATACCCTCACCGGCGCTCACCTGACGAGGTGGAAAAACGCAGAATACCAGTCCTTGCACCTGGCAGAGGTCTTTCCTCTGCGGATCGCCTCACACTTAAAGGCAACAATTTCGGTAATGGGCCACAAACGAGTTCATTCGCTTTCCCCGCACCCATGCCCTGCATACGTGCTCCTCCTCCTTACGTCAGCCCAATCAGAAAGGACAAAAAAAATAAAAGAAATTTTCAGAATAACCACATCGCTTTCTCCATCAGATGACCCCCGCAGGACCGACTACCCCGTTGAAAGCCTTCTACGCAAAATCAGGAACTTAGAAAATGAAAAAAAATACCTACTGAAGTCTTTAGAGAATAAAAAAAACGTGGAATTGGAGTATAGGAAGGCACTGGAGACACAGGTAAAAAGAGAGGAAGCAAGCGATAGGCCCCAGGTGGGTTGATTACTCCGCCAGAAGGATGGCACACCATTTGGGAACACCTTCCCTGCCTATGTGCAGCCAAACAAGTGAATCACCCCAATGGGGTATATCACAAATGAAAACTGTACAAGCCGCAGACACACTGAATGTGCCGCCGCCGCCCCCTTCCCCCCTTTACACACAAAACCCTGCAGGCCGCATTCGTCAGCGCAGAGAATAGAAAGTCCCAGTTCTACGAAAACGAATGGCTGCACATGAAGTCGCAAGAGCACTCCTTCATGTAAGGGAATTAAGCAAAGGAGACAAATTAAAAGACTGAAGAGCTTCTTCTTTTATCTTTTAAGATACTCCCAGTTTGTATTCTTCCGCTTTGCAGTTGCGATTGAAAATTATTTCTGCACCATGGTCGTATGCGATATACGTGATAGGTGGCAAGTTTGCCCCCTCTGCACAAATGTGTATATCGTCTCATGGACTCCTTTTCCCCTTTTTCGAAGGACCTCCGGGAAAGCCCCCCTGAGGCAGACGCTGGAGTTGTTTTACGAAGATGATGACTTGTACAAGGTGAGAGAGGGATGAAAAAACGGAAAATGAATCAAGGGAGAGAGGGATGAAAAAACGAACAGTGAATAATTCCCCCTCCACTTCGATCACATGCAGAAATTGGGAAGCCTCACCAGAACACAGGAAATCTTCATCGCTACTTTGATCGAGGACCATCAGAACTTGGCGCGGGAAAGGAACTCCATTTCGAAGAAGTACCAGGAGGCAGTGGTAAGCTTTGAATTTACAGAGGGGGGAAATCCTGTAGATAAGGACATCGCGTCCATGTCACGTCTGTTCCTCTTTGGTGGACGCGCCAACAGCTGAGTGACGACCCGACCCACCCCCTTTTTTCTTACAGGACGCCAACTTCCAACTGTATCAACAGAACGAAATGCTCAAAGCGCAAAATATAAACCTCGTCGAAAGGAACAAAGACGCGATAAGTGACCAAATGGTAAGTGCTCAAAGGGAATGGTGGAGAGGAAAATTTTGAAAATACCTCCTCCTTTTGCGTTAAAAGGCACATATATACACAGCTCAGTTGAATTCATTCCTTCCGTTTTTTTACCCCATTCCGAAAATCTTAATAGGAAAAAAATTTAGTCGCACTGAATGCCTCGCTCATTCATGTCCAGAAGGAGAATACCCAACTCAGGGGTGAGTTCCCATTTGGCTAAATCACCAGTTGGTCTCTCTGTACCACAAGTGTGATGCAGTTCGTCCACTTGGCTGATTGATCTAACCATGTGCACGTCCACACCGATGCAACGCATAAAAGGTTCCACCACCATCACACCCTCCCCGCAGAAACGGTAGAGCAGTACACACAGCTCATCGAGAAGATAGAGAAATGCCCCGAAGTAAATGCAGAGAAGTCCCCAATAGGGCCAATCGCTTTGTGCACTTCCTCGCTTAGTAACCCTCACATTCCCTTGAGTGCACCCTCCTCGTTTAAGTGCGCCAGACACTCCCTTCAGTTTTGTCCTTCCTTCCCCGTTAGGTAAATTCCATCAAGGAGGAGTTAAACAAATTTAAGAAGTATTTGCTAATATGAAACGGAATGGGTGTGCACAGCGGAGGTTCCACGCAGGTGTGTGTGTTCTGTGTCGGTGTCGCCTCGATGGCAAGAGAAAAAAAGAAAAAAAACTCTCGCGCAGTAGCGTTGCCGCGTAGTGACGTTGTAGCCCAGTTAACTGTTTATCCGTTTACCTGTACAAAGGAAAGTTGCCCACTTTTGGAGACCCACAACACGTGGAGGGTCTAACCACGGAGGATTCTTCTCCTTTTTTGACTTTTCATCCCTTTCATCAAATTTAGCTACCTTGTTAATTGTTACCTCCACCCTCGTTTGTGTGTCCGCAGTGGGAGTCACTCTTCTATATACTGCGTTGCCACTTTGCATCCACGTGTCTTTTTCATTTTTTAATCAATTCGTTCAGCCGAACTGGGGCCACATGCCCATGTCAGCTGCCCCACAGGAATGAACACGTGATGCAGTTGCATCTCCCAAATCGATGTGCTTTCAATTAATGCTTAATAGGTTCTCACCAATTGCAGATATATCCATCCCCGTTACGCTGGTATTTACACTTAGGAGCCATTTGACGATGTAAAAGATGCGGTAATAGCCCCCTTTTAGTCGCTCCCGTACGGTCAATTTGTTCACCCCCATCTGGTCAGCATCTCCATCATGGCTACAAACAACCACTCGCTGTTTTTTCCATCCCCCAAAAAGGGGAGACGTCGTTCCGAATTAATGGGACGCATTAATGAGCCGAATTATTATGTAATGCACGCATAAGCACATGAAGGCACAATGACCATGTCCACGTTGACGACAGTGCCTTCTCTCCTTTTAAATGAAACGTTGAATGGCTAACCCGGATTTGAAATGGGGTTCCCAGGAGGAGAAAGCGTACGCTACGTCTTGTCCCTCTTAAAGAGCGACGCAGCATTTGCGCGCCTCCTGTCGAGAGCGTCGTCAATGACCTTTCCTCATACGGTTTGGTTTAAAAGAAAAAGGTTCATCAATTGGAGGGTGGAGGCTTCAGCGCAGACACACATATGCGTGTATACACTTTAGACTGCGTTCTGCACGGAAGGCAGAGAGAGAAAAAAAAAAATGGCTAATTAGGAAGAAATATTGGTGACGGGCAGAGAAACGCAAACGGGCGCATCAAACAAAGCAGGCGTGACAGACGGGGGGAACCGCACAGAAAGGGGGCCCTCGTCTGTAGGATCCGTCCACTTCGCCGCTTCCCACTTCGCCGCTTCCCACTTCGTCGCTTCCCCCCTACACCATGTCGGCGAAGCAGTAATGGATGAGCGCCTCCCTCGCGTTCTGTATCCTCGTGGACGGATTCGGGTCCAACAGCTTCAGGCACAAGTCCAGCACATCGGGGTGGTCTTGCCAAACGAACGGGTCGAAGTTGGGCTTGGTGTGAATTAGAATCTTCTTCTTCAGCGGAACAGGCATATCATTACTTATCTGAAACGGAAAACGACCGTCCATGAGAGCATACAAAATGACACCACAGGCCCATACGTCGTTAGCTGTGGATATGATCCCATCCAGAGATTCAGGAGACATGTACGGGGCTGTTCCACATATCACTTCGGATCTTCCGTCGGGACTAAACTTGCTTGACATGACTTTCTCCATCATGTCCATATCGATTAAGCACAGATCGCTATAGGAGTTGTTTACCTCCTTTCTTCTCCTCTTCTTTGTAATATAATTTTTTGTAAGATCCTTAAATGTTGAGCATCTGGTTCCTCCGTTCTTTTGCAACCTCAACAGGGATATATTTTTCTGTCCCTTTCTTCGTGACTTGTACGTCTTCATAAGGAGAGCAGGGACGCCCTGCATGTAGTTCCCTTCGTGGCTCATTCGATCTAAGTTGTGTTGACCCCTTTTCACTGTGAAGTAGTCTTCCCTATCGAAGCAATGGGAATGAAAAGAGTTTACCGTTATAGAGGACTGTCTCGAGCTGTCCGACGAGCCGGAAAGCTTCGAGTGGGCGGACAGCACGGTGGATGAGGGGATCTCATTGGAGAAGCACCCATTGGAGAAGATCCCATTGGAGTAGGTCCCCCCGGAGGAGAATATCCCATGGGAGCAAGCGCCATTTGAGTACGCCCCGTTTGAGTACGCCCCACTGGAGGGGAGATCACTGGGAAGGGACTCCCCGGAGGTGGCTCCACCCGGGGTTGCCTCGCAGGGGGATGATCTTCTGTCCAAGGCGCCCTCGGAATTGGCTCCCCCTGGGATGGAACCAACCCGGGCGACGCGATTCAGCTGATCAGTGCGATTAACGGGGACACCCCCGCCAACACGATCTACACGATCTGAACTTCCAACGCCAATGTCGCCTCTCCCCCCCATGCTGCTCCCCTGCACAGATCGAAGTGCGCACGAGCCAAATTCCTCACCCTCGTAGTCTCTCTTCCGCTTCCTCTTAAACATAATATTTTCCAGCTTTATGTCCCTATGGATGATGTTGTTCGCGTGCAGGAAGTCTAACCCCAGCAGAAGGTTCTTCATGATGCACTTAATGTCGTGAATCTCCAGCGAGCCAGGAACCAGGGACATGAAATAATCCAGCAGAGTGCACCCCTCACAATACTCCATTACGATGAAGTAGTAATTATCTTCATCAAAAACGTCATATATAGGAATGACATTCCTGTGTCTATTTTGTTTCAAAAAGGAATACTTCTGGAAGAACTTCCTCATGTCATAATCATCACTCTCTTCTCTCACAATCACCTTCATCGCATAGGTCTTCTTGTTAAGCACATTGACACATTTATACACTTGGGACTTTTCTCCACAGTATATCAGCCCCACGATGCAGTAAAGCTTATTATAGTACGTACACTTGGGGTACATGAACACGGAGGAACTCAGTTCCCATGGGGTCGTCGTCCAATTGGGAGTATCCTCCTCTTGGGGCTTGGCTCTTCCGTCTTGATTGCTTCCTTCCTTCATTCGGATCGGTTTCCTCTTTTCGCCGTTATCCTCCTCGACCTCTTCACGCCGGTACACAGGGGTCAAGTACTCGATGGAGCTCCCTTGGAGGCAATTTTGCTCCACTGAACTGCCACGGGATGATAAGTAACTTTTTTGGCGCCTTTCCAGGCTTGCCCCCTCCCCGTTTTTGGAGCGCAGTTTTGTTTTCTTCTTCCCTCTAGTTTGGTTGATCCCTTCGTCTTCCTCGTCCTCGAATAGAGAGAAGAATGGTATTTGCTCCTCGTTCCCCAATTGGCCTTGTTCCCTCCTCTTGACAGAATCCCTCGTCGCGTTGTATCTTGAGCGACTTCTATTCTCCCTGCACTTCCTATTCACCACGTGTTTGTGCCCCTTATTCGCCGCCGCACCCGTCCTCCTTTTCCTGTCCTTCCTCACTTTCAGTCGCTCCCGATTCGGCTCCCTCTCACTGCAAAAAAAGGCCCTACCCCTTCGGCCCGCTGTGATTGCGTTCGACAAATGCCCCTTACACAGAGCCTTCTTCCTACCACCACGGGGGGGTTCTTCCGCACGAGTTACACGAGTATCCCTCCCGCTGCACCCCCAATGTGGATCACCGACTGGGGAGGAACGCATCTGGTCCTTCCCTCCAGAAATCCTTTCGCTGAATCTACTTTGTCTGATTTTTTCCAACTCTTTCTCTGCCGCTAACTGGAGCGACCCGTCTTCAATTACCCCACACCGATGATAGCTGAACAAGGTAGTACAAAAACGATCGTTGGAGCTCCCATTTGTGTGGCTGCTTTCACCACGCTCCGTCCACGAGGGAGGTGGAGTAAAATGCCCCTCAGTTTTTTCCCCACGAGGGGAAACTCTGCCGCATGTGCTGGACGCTTCGTTTTTGTCCTTTTTCTTCTCCTTCTGCTTCTTCGTCTGCTCCTTTGTCTGCTCCTTTGTCTGCTCCTTTGTCTGCTCCTTTGTCTGCTCCTTCTTCTTCTCGTCCTCGTGTATCTGCTTCCCCCCCTCCATCTGCCTCCGTTGAACCTTCCTCACAAACCCTTTTTCGCCGCCTGTCTCCATAACCTTGGTGATAATATTTCCCCTCCTGCTGAGGCACCGCTTGTCCCTTCCCCTATTGCACCTCGACCTACAGCGCAGACCAGAACTAGAGGTAGCCCGAACGCATGCTACCCCCTTATCTAAACTTCTACATTTTTTTAAGGTGGAAAAATTGAAATCTTCCTTTTCAAGAGTAGGTACGGATGATGACCCCCGGTTGGTTTTGCGGCAAGCCAACGAGAGACAGGTCTTTCCCTTTGCTTGCCGTTGGAGGGTCCTTCCTGGGTTGACTCCATCACTAGGGATGTCGTCAAGTGGGGAAGACTGTGCTCCCACGTTACCGTCACCACTACGAGAAATATTATCGCGACAATGACTTGGAACTCCCCCCTTCTTCGATTCCCTGTCGGATGGAGTAGACGGCTCCACAAACTCACTGTAGCAGAAAATGGATTTCTTCTTGCTTATTCTCATTAATTTTAACTTATTGTAAAAGGTATCTGTACCAATTTTTTTATTTTTTTCTCTTCCTTGTTCTCTCCCGCTTTTTTGACTCCACCTGTAGAAGCAGCTGGTGTTGTTATATGATTGCCCCAACGGTTCACCACTCTCCCCTTTTGGGCCTCTACTCTTCTGCCTCCTACGTGACTTCACCATCTCCTCAGTTCGCCTTATACACTGACCGACTATACCTGCACTGGCGTTTTTCCCCCTACTTCGGAATTCCCTTGTCGTCACTTTTTTGCAGGAGGGAAGCATCGAGTCGCTATGGGCCTTTTTCGACGCGTTGACATTTCCACGTATCATTTTTCCTTCCACGTGTAAAATATGTTCATTCCTTTCACAGGAAGAGGTACCCTTCGCCTGCAAGGGGTACTTCTGAACAGCGGTGCTACCTGTGTGTGTGTCTTTTAGTTCATCACTTTCTCTCCCTCTTACTGCACCTTCAGTGTTCAATTCGTTTGAAACATTCTTTTCCGTTCCGATGTTATTCCTCCCTTTGCTCCTTAAAACAGCCGCATGCTCTCCATAACTGATCGAATCGTTCCCCACACGTGTGTCTTTGTTACGCACACAGAATCTGCAGTTCAGACTTTCTTCACTTCTCGGATCGTTCGTGACTGCTTCACGGGGAGAGAAGACACAATTCCTCTTCACAAGGCCATCACTTGAAGGGGCCGCACTGTCACCTGAATTGCACGAACCATTGCTGGAAGTTTTAATGGAACATTTGAATAGCCTGCCGAGGTTCCTATCCGCCTGCGGGGGGTCAACGTTAATGGTTGCTTCTCCGAGGCAATAACTGGGGGATGTTTCCTCCGAAGATACTTTCCCTTTTATACCTCGCGTATTAACGCCTCCGTCGCGATGGCTCTTCATGCCATATGTTTGGTTTCCATCCGTTCGACCTGATAGACTTCCATTGGTTCGACCTGCTAGACTTCCAGTCGTGCCACCTGATTGGCTCCCATTCGAGTCGCCCTCCTGATTTCTGCCCCTGCCCCTGCCTCTGCCCAAGCGGCTACTCACGACTCTGTTGCCAAGACGCTCTTTCAGGAAACAATTTATGAGGGCACTCTCCGCAGGGTCTCTCCTCGACACGTCGGCGGGGGGAGGCTGCCTCGATTTGACTCCTCCCTCATTGGCTCCGCTGCCTTTCCCTCCTCTTGCGCCATTTTTAACGGCGTAGTTACTGCTCTTTCGTTGAGCCTCCTCCCCCCTATACAATTTACACGATTCTGCATCTTCACTCGAGGCAACCTGGCATATTTTGCTAGTGGACGAAGCGCTTCTGTTTTCCTGTGACGGCCCGCACCCTTTCTTTAGCAGCCTCTTCCAGATTAGCGAATTTAGGCTGCACTTAATTGTGTACTGTTCATCATCTGCTGGTAACCCAATAAGACCTCCTGCCGTAACGTCCACGCTTCCTTGTTGGTCATTCTTATTAATCAAATTTTTGTACTTGTAGAAGCTAATGAGGTTTGTTTTTTCCTTCCCTTTTGTGTTTCCACCTGGGGGAGGGGCATTCTCTTGGGCGCATACTTTCCTGTTGGCAATAAAATTCCCAGTCAATCGATTTGTATTCTCAACTGGGTAATTACAATATCTTAGTAACTCAGCGCTAGTTCCTGTCTCATCTAATTTGCCAACACCATCACAGGTGTCCCCATGTTTTAACCTCATAGATGACTTACTCACGCAGTCATTGCAGGGGCTTCGATTCAACTTCTTCTTCAACTCCTCTTCCTCCTCCTTCGAGGACGAGTGGTCCAAATGGCGACAATTCCTATTGCAGAGAGCCTCACCACAGTTACGTGTATTCGTCGTATGCTTTAATAACTGCAAATATTTGTTTTTCATGTTTTTTTTTTTAATTTCTTCCTTCGTACTCCTTCCGTGGTCCATATGCCTGCCTGCGCATGTCTTGTGTTCGTCAATACTGGCGGAAATAATTCTGAGGTTTTTCACCGCTTCATACTTATCCATTTGGGAGTTCGGCGAATAGTGGCTCTGGTTGGGCGAAGCAAGCCGCGCCAAAAAAAAGCGGAAAAAGGAATAAACACAACAACAGACAGAATGTGACTAACCGCTGAGGCCACACTGTGTACGAGTGATCTCAGGGTAGACTACCAAACTGGGAAATGACTGAGTGTTGTGCCCTCCTTTTTAAGGCAATCTCGACACAAAATTTTTCCTGCACGGAACGTTTCTCACTAAGGTAGACGTAAAAAAAATACATTTAACTTAAGGTGCTCGCTGGTGTGTACCTCAGCCTTCAGTTCCCTTGACGGGCGTGCGTTCAACAGGTTGGAAGTGATTAACTAGGGACACGCAAGTCTGCAGTTGTATGCAATTGCGTGTAGATGTACGTAGAGGTATGTACCTTTTCTTTGGTTTATCCTCATGGTTTAGAGGCAAATACAGTCGCATGCACGTAACCGCGAGTTCAGCTCAACACATGTTCCTTAATCTATGCTCAATGGAAAAAAAGGTGCAGTTCGCAGGGCGGAATACACTTGAAGCTAAGAGGCTGAACTTAACGGACGCGGTGATAGGCAGGCAACTACGGCATGCAACATAAATAAAAAAAAAGTTAAAAAACAAAAATTGCAATTTTATAATAAATTACAAAAAAAAAAGAAAAAAAAAAAATTAAGACCTTCACAATGGTAGTAACGGCTAAAAAAAAATTAATCAGAGCTTGTACAGTAGCTTCTTCCTAGGTAGATAAAGACGCAGGAATAGGAATGTGTATAAGCTAAAACGATGCAGCGGCAGGAAAGGTGAAAAAACGTAAAAAGAGCAGCCGGAGAAACAAAAAGAAGCGGCGATGCAGCGCATGCACCATCAACACCTTGCAAAAAAGAAAAGAAAAAAGCAACGAGAACAAAAACAGAAGAAAAAAGAACAACGCAAAAACAGCGACGCAAAAACAACAACGCAAAAACAACAACGCAAAAACAACGCAGAAACAGGGACGCTCTTTTGCTAATTACCCGAAAGCGGAACCCGCGCCTGTGAACATGCGCAGATCGATTAGGCGTGATTCACAGCAGTTCAGGGTGGAGCAGCACAATTCGTAGCCCCCCCTCAACAACGCATCAAAATTGAATACAATTTTTCCCATGTGCACACAACGCTAGCTTAAAAGGGATTTCTCCAAAACAACAGAAAAAAAATGTTTATGCAACAAAACGGCCTTGTTATGGGACCATAGTTGGTTGACGTTGCGTAATCTGCCACGAGGATGGTATAGGAAAAAAATACACTCACGAGCAAAGGGGTATTCAAAAACGCATTCACGTATGAAGGGGTATGCAATTATGGACTCTTTTACACGAGCATATGTATATAAATACATCCTTGTTGGAAAGGACAATTCCTAAAAAATTCTACGTTGCGCATTTCCCATAGCGGTGGACATGCGTGTCCACTACAGCAGCTTGTTTAAAGCTAACTTGTTGGGAAAGGGTAACTCGGTTGTTCACGTGGAAAAAAAATTGTATGAACATCTACACCTGTGAAAAAGATTATGGCTAACTATGCAAAAAAAAAAAAAAAAAAAAAAAAAAAAAAAGTTGTTCATATGAACTGTGCATATAAAATGGCATATAAAATGGCATATAAAATGGGCATATAAAAGGGGCCTATAAAGATGTGCAGATAAATTGTGCGCAAAGTTGTGCGTGGAAATATGAGCAAGTTGCAGAGCCAACTGTGCAGCCAAACGAACAGCCAAATGTGAACGTAATGAACACACACTCTGTTCTTAGTGGCCCCTGCAATATCGATCATGCAGAGATCGCACGGGAAATTTTGAACAAAAGGATCTTCGAGCAGTTGTGTGGGTGTGGTGGTTCATTTTGGTTATTCATTTACCTTTCTTTTTTTTTTTGCAGCATCGCGAATGATGTTGTAAAGCAGGGACACAAAAAAGAAAAAAAAAAAACGGCTGCTTAAAGTTAAACAAAGGAGGCATAAGTTTCACGTAAAAGGGAGTGTGAAAAGACCTAGCGAAAAAAAAAAGTACACAATTTTATGTGCGAAAATGTGTGCAAAAAAAAAAAAAAAAAAGCTTTGTACACATTTTTTACTTCCTTTCTGCCGCTTCTTTTATGTTGTTTTTTTTTCTTTTTTTTTCTTTTTTTTTTTGCAACCATTTGGCGTCCCTTCGCTTGCTTTTTTACCTTACTGTTTGCTCCTTTTTTTTTTTTTTTTATTACCCGTTTATAAGAAAAAAGTTGGGAACATTTTTGGGCGAGCCTTTTTATCTCACTTTGTGTGAAAAACCGCACTTTTAAAATTATTCAAAATGGAGGTGGCACTGCGATGGACCGGCCCCCCCCTCCCCGGTTGGCAGTTGTAACCAGTTGTATGTTCTGCTAAAATAAACTTGCGGTGTAGGAACGTTTCAAAAAAAAAGAATGACATTACGAAGTGAAGCTGATTCGGCTGGCGACTGAGAACAAAAAAAGTAACTTCAAATAAAACAATCTGTAGTTAAACCAGCGCAGGGGAGACCAATTCCAATAAATTGGCTCCTCCACCCCTCGCCATGCGCTTGCCAGAGGTACGCGGGTCCGTCCCCCCGCCCAATCCACATTCGCATGCGTACCACACGTTGTCGCCCCTGCAGAGTCGCCCACACGTAATTTTGTGTACGGCCGAACAGGGCAGAAATGCACGTACGCGCTTATACGAAATGGGGAATAAGGCGGTACATAAAACGTGTAAATGAGTAAATAAAAAGATAGGTAGATGGATAAGCAAACCTTTCAGACAAAACGATGCCGCGTGGTGACCTGGCGAACGCTCTACCTCCCAGTGCTTATTCGTTGCGCCAGGTGAGCAACGCACAAAGTGCTCCTAACCCCCTGCAGCGCGGAGGGATTGTCATTGCAAAGCTTCGGCGTAACGCTCAAGCAGTGGAAAACAGTACACGGATTTATCTTCTTAAAAATTAGTAACTCCTGAATCTTTTTTAAAATGCCAAGGAAAGGTTCATCAAAAGAGTTATATTTAAAAAAAAAAAACAGACATAACAATACATTTCGCACCTCCTTCACATCCATTTTCTGTATAAGTTCCCCAACAGATGTGACATGTTCCTTTTGGATCACTATCTTTTCGTTCTTGCAAAAAACTTTTAAAATAATCTGCAGCCCCCTTTCCGTGAGCTTCATTTGAGGGGATCCATTCTTTAGCAGCGCATTTTGAAGCAAAGTAGTAATTTGTTCCATTTTTTTTTCATTTTTTGTTTTCTCCGCACAGGAGTATAGAGCAATATGCGATAAATAGTCTAGATTCTCTAGCTTATCTTCCAACAAGTCCCAAAATAAATTTACCAAATGGGTAAAATTGGGATCAAACGACAAGCTGTTACAGTAGGCATTAAGCATGACAACCAACTCGTCTGCACTGAATGAGTTTCTAATTGTTCTGACTCTGTCGTGAACTAACTCCCACATGTAATGGTTATTCATTTTCCTTCTGTTAATATCTTCACATGTGTGTGCCAATGCAGTGTTGTTCATTTTTGAAATACGTCTTACGAAGGCTTCTTCTAAATTGTAAGATTCTTCCGTTTCTTTTATGGCTTCCCTCTTTTGTTGGAAATAAGACGTGAATGGTGCTTTCTTCTCCCCGCTGAGCAGAGCTCTGTTTATACCTTTCCAATGCCAGGCGGGCTGAAGGAATGTCCTCCTCCACAGATAAGTCATATTGACAAGGGGGCGAGGGGTTCCCCTACTCGTTGTATTTTGTGTAGTGCAAAAACGATTTGGAGTGGCTCACCAGATTCATTCGTCTGTAGTGTACACTTACGCGACGTGCAACCTTCTCTCCCAATGTGTGCCTTGCCTGCTGGCAGGCCTTACGGGACTTTTTGGACGGGGAGGGGGGCAGCCAACGGGGGTACTATATATATACATATATATGCAATGTAACATACCCATTTGCGCCCTCACCCCGCTGAGCACATCCCCAGGGGGGCTCGCCTGATCGCTGCACGCATGGGTAGCACCCCCCCGCCGTTGCTAAATGGTGACAGGGGAAAATCCTTTTCTTATTCTTTTTCCCCCCAAAAAATGCTATTTTGCGTAACTATATATATATATATTTTTTTTTTTTGTACCCATTATCTGGGCAGTCGATGTGAAGCTTATTTACAGGGGGACTTCCCCCCTTCCTCTTCTAGCAACGCGCGGCAGGTAGATTCATCCACGTAGTGCGACTCACAGATTCGTTCTCAGTGCTCCCCACCATTGTGTGCTTTGCTCGCTTGGGCATTTCTTCCCTCGACGTGATGGCAGTAGAGGATGGACCACCACGATGTTGCTCAGATGGTCTATCCTTCGCGGGTATGCCAAAAGAAAGCAAAAATATAAAAACAAAAGTAAAAATAAAAAAAAATAAAAAATAAAAAAAAAAAAATAAATAAAATAATAAAATAAAATAAACAGAGCAAATCAAAGTATGCGCAAATAAAGTGGTATATGTATTTCCACACAGGTGCGAACTCGACATGCGCTTCGACCATGCGGAACCCTTTCTACGCGGCAACGCGAGGACCTACCGAATTGGAAAAGGGAAAACAGCCCGACTTTTTCAGAGGTGGTAACAATCTATCCTCCATCCTTTTAGCGTCGCAATCTTTTTACGCCACAAAATTGAGAAAAGGAAAAAGAAAATTAAGTCGCTTGCTCCCATCAGAAGTGGTATTTTTCCCCTAGCGCAGTAACTTAGAAGGAAGAGGAAAAGGACGACCACCACTATATCTTCCTCGTTTTCTACAAAGATAGCGAATTTGCGAGCACAGCGGTTTTGTACCTCTACAATATATGGTTTTACCTCTCGTATCGTATGCATTGATTTTTCCCACTTTCAAGGCCAAACATAATCCCTTTCTCCGGCCCTTTTCCCCGCCATTTTCCCTCCTTTTTTCCTCTCTTTTTTTTTTTTTGCGTAAGCGGAGTGGAAAGGGGGGCCTACCTTTCTCCGTATATAGGCTACCCGTGGCTGTACTTGCGGATCGAGAAGGCATCACTGGAGAAGCGCTCCTAAGGAGTCCACCAATGCATGCATTGAGCGAGCATGCATCTTTATTGGTTTCCCCATTCGTGTGGCAGAATTACAGAGTGAAAGTAACGGAGCTGGACAATATTCAGCCAAGGTGAGGGAGGCATGTACGTCTGAGGAAAGTCGCCTGCCCGTTCGCTGTCCTTTTCAGTGGGAAGAAAAAAGTAACCCACGTGGGAAAGACGCTGAGGTTCCTGGAAGGACCATGAAAGGGGGAAGCGGTGGAGGAGTAGCACACAATGGAGGAGCGGGATGCAGTAGAGCAGCAGAACCCAATGGAGAATCGGGACGCAGTGGAAGCCGTTGCCGAATCAAAAAGGTGACCTTCCGAGAGCCCCCAGTAGTCTGTGAATTTAGCGAAAACGACAAGCATGAATTTGATGAATCGTCTTGTGGAGAAGGTGCAGCTAATGAAATTTTTCCAGACGGCACCGAGTTGTCATCGCTGATGGAAAACTTCGACCCGATAGATTTTGGCATTAAAGAAAAGCTAACTGAAAGTGAAAAGAGAATACTTATTAGGGAAATTCACGGAAGACGAAGTGCTAACGGGGCGTTCTCTACCTCCCTATCAAACGGGAGGAAGAACAACAAGTGTATTACCCTTAGGCAGGAAGAGACACTGGGGGAGCAGCCAGGGGGGACACGAGGACAAACAAGGGGCTATGCTAATAAGCAGAATGGAGGAAGCCAACCCTGGGAACATGCCATAGACGGCACAAGCGAGACGGACAAAAAAGCGATGGAGACAAAGAAGAGAAAAAAAAAAAGAAGCAGGGGACGACGGAAGGAGGAGGACCCCCTCGCCTACCTCGATGGAGACTGTTACTTCCCAGATGACGGGTATGACTATGAACAACACTTAAAAAGCATAAGTTCCAATTTTGTAAGTGCAAAATCCAGAGGAGACAATAACTTTTTTGAGGTTAAGCCAACAGATGAAGAGGAAAGAGAGTTATTTAAAACATTCGAAGCGGACAACTACGAAGAACTGAATGATAATTTTGTGTACGAAGCGCAGGATGTGAGTGATGAGGATAAGTTGGACGTGTCAAAGGATCTCATTTGGGGCACCCCCGACTGGAGTTTCCCCATCGGCGGTGCCAGTACTACATATTTGACTACCGATCCCATGCAGCTAAACGAGTTGAGAGAGAGCGTGGACGGAGACACGACCGACGGGGAGATTAGCGATGCGGATCGGGAGGCACATCTTTTGCCAGGGAATCACCACCTTCGTAGTGGTAGCGGCAGGAGCAGCGGTGGCCACGCAGGTGGAAGAGGCAACTCGGAGGAAAACGGATACGTCATCTTTGATGAAGGTACGCACACAAAGATCTCCACATGTGAGAAGAAAAAACAAAAAGATACAAACACAGACAAAAGCGACCCGAACGCACTAAAGCTGAGCGATCTGGTCAAGCTGGAAATGCAAAAAGTCGACAGCAAGAATTTCAATGAAATAAAAAATATAGTTGTAAAAAAAAAAAAAAAAAAAAAAAAAATCGTACAGAAAATAATACAGATAACACACTTGTCCACGTAAATGGAGAGTACAAGACCAAAATTTTGCAAATTTTGAATTCACAAAAAGAGCAAGAATGTCACCGTGGGAAGGGTCATGGTGAAGAGAACTCCCGTTCAGACGCATCCGGGGAGTTTTTTTTCTCCTCCTCCGATGCGTCATCTTCATCATTGTCATACGATTGCGAAACAATCCTCACGACGAAGACGAACACAACAAACCACCCTTGTAAGTTAGTCATCCCCAAGAAGGTCCCTACTCCCGCGTCTGGCAGCCTGTTGATTAACCCTCTGCCTCACGCCAGCGCCAACCCGAAGAGGAAACACAGGGAGAAGGAGAAAGTGGGCGAAGAGGCCAAACTGGAGAGTTACCTAGTCCTGGAAAGTGTAAGCAGTTCGCCCGCAGGGGTGAAGCGGAGAAGAGGCAAAACGATGAAGAGGCCACTCCCTCTTTCGTCAACGCCCATGCGTCTCTTCGTGGGTGTTCCCCTCCAGACCGCCTACCCCTCGCCTACCATTTGCGAGCTCTTTAGCCGCCATTTCACTCGAAACCCACGTCCGCACTTCCCCACCTGCAGATAAACACCACGCGCGGCAAAAACGAAACCCCGGAAGAAAAGAGGGAGCGGAAGAAGCTCGTCAAGGAGGCGCAACGACTGAACAGGAAGTTGAAAAAGGAAAATGCGCTACTGATGAAGGTACGGCCTGTGCGCTGAGAAAGTTGCTTTGCTGTTCTCCCCCTTCGTTCGCTCTGTTTGTGTTTATTACTGTTGTCCTCCACATTTCTTCGTCACATTTGTCCTCCACATTTCTTCGTCACATTTGTCCTCTACATTTCTTCATCACATTTGTCCTCCACATTCCTTCACCACGTTTTCCCTCCACATTTCTCCGTTACACTTGGCCCCTCCCCGCAGAGCGAGAAAAAAATGATGAACAAGAAGAGCAACCCCTTCGACATCAGAGACAACGTCAAGTACATTAAACTGTGAACCGGGCCCCGTTCGGCACGCTTCGCTTTCAACATTCTTGTGGGCCTCGGTTGCCGGACCCAGCCGAATGCACGTGGCGATATGGCTAGTCTCGCGTTCGTTGCTCTGACGGAAAGAGCGCCGTTGATTTGTTTCGTTCTGCCTGGTGATCTTGCCTGGCATTATTTTACAGGTTTTTAATTTCCCCTGTTTCGTGTTACCCCGCTTTAATTTCCTTTTTTTCGTCGCGCGCATAACATAACCCCATAACTCGTTGTGCCTGTCAAAATGGATTTCCCCGAAATGGCCTTCCCCCTCCGCGCCGTTCACCCCTTTGGATCAATCCACATCGAGAAGAAAAGAAACAAAAAAAAGAAAAAACATTTAAAACGAAACAACGGTTCTTTTACAAATTTGCCAAAGTCGGCATCCGGGGGTGGGAAAACGTTCTTTCTGTGCAGAACGACAAAAAAGAAAAAAAAAAACTGGATAATCATAATAAGGACAAACTCGCCACGTATGCACAGCGGCCAAGCACAAAAAAATGCACTTTTTCACTAACCCCTATTTTCCTCGCAAAAGGGGACAATGACTTGTACGAAGTGGTCCTTAATGACGTTATAATATCGATCCTCCTCACGAAAGGTCACCTCATCATCACAGCAATCCCAAAACGCTTTCCCCATTTTGTCTGCACACACCCGTTCGACATGTTCATATTCGTGGAACAATTTTTCAATAAAAGAAAAATCACCCAGCGTTTTATTCACATGATAAATGACTGTCCGGATGAAATTTCTGTTAACAGATTTGAAGAAGTCTTGGGGCGCGATCACCGCAGTTTTTTTTTCCCTCAGGGGGGTGAATCTCCTCAAAAAGGTGTGGTAGTAATATGCGTTCTGCGCTTCCTCCGATTCGTCCACTTTGTCCATTTCGCGAGGGGGGGGATCCCCCACTTGGGAGGTGCTTTCACCACGTCCATCCCACCCCTCCTCACTCACAAAACGGCCACTGCAATACGTCCCCAGCAAGGAACACACGTTCAGCCTGGAAAAGAATTTATAAAAATGTTGGTACAAAATTTGAAAGAGAGTCACAATTTGGTATCTCTTCAGCTTCTGGACGTTACTGGTGGTGCTTTTCCATATGGTGACGCGTTTTCTTAAGTTTTTCCTTTTATCGGTGCTGGTCTCTTCGGAGAGAGGTCTTCCTTGGACGCTGCGACGGTCACCACTGCCGCGGGCGTTGCTAATACAGCTGTTACGGATACGGATACTACGGTTTCTGCCCATTCCATCGCTCTTTCCCCTTTCATGGCTGCCGCCCCCTCTTTGGGGGGACCCGATGGAGACCTTCCTAACGCTGATCTCGTCTACACATGTCGTCAAAACTTTGCCGAAGAAGACGCGGGAAAAAACCTCGTCGAAGTGCATGTCCAAGGGTTGTTGCCTCTTCCTATCGTCCCCTTTAAAAAATAAATTGCGCCCCTCATAAATCACCTCCATTTGGGGACTCAAATAGACCCCCAGTTGCCCCTTCACGTAAACATAATAAATGCACCTTTCTTGGGATTCCTTCCTACGTGTTTTGCAACCCGATCTGCTGCGCTTTGGTTGCTCCTCACTGGGTGAAGTGGTGCCCCGGGAATACTTACTACGGTAGGCGCTGGTATTTATTTTTCTCCTTTGTTCATCCGCTTCGTCAGTTTTAATACCACCTCCCGGGAGGTATCTACTGGGGGGGCAACTCCTCCTCTTCCTTTTCTTCGTCAAATCTTCATCGTTTTCTGTTTTGCCTGTGTGGGTCTTTCTCTTCTTCTTATCCTCGTCGGATCCCTTTATGTCCCTTCCGCATTTTTCCCCTGTCTTTTTCCTTTCCACTTGGACTGTGTCTTTTTTTATCATGTTCGCTTTTTTCACCTCTTCGATGAGTGAGTTGGGATGGGGAGGAACCTCACTTGGAGGTGCGGTGGTAGACCCGATAGGATCATCTAGGACTGGTGGATTTGGGGGCTCCTCCATAGCCTGCCCCTCCACGCTCTCCTTGACCATCCCCCCATTTCTGCCACTCCCCTCAAGCCTGTCATCCAGTTTGAAGTGCTTCTCCAGTTGGAGATTTCTACACGATTTTAAGTTCTTCTTCAGGGTTATTTTTACTGGCCACCTTTGCGCGGTGGGGCGTGGGAGGTTCGCCTGGTGGGGAAGCTCCTCCCACTCATTTCGATCCAACTGCCCTTCTATTCCTTCCCGCTTCTCCTTCTTGACACGCTTCATACGCCTTCCCGATTTAGAAACAAACCTGAACAGCTCATGCGAAAGGAACGACCTATACCTAACGGCGCACAGTGCGCACAAGGACTTTACAATTTTCCTCATCTTCTTAAGGGGCAGCTTCTCCGGGTTGTTCACTCTCCCGCTTCGTAAAAAACGTCTTATCTTCCTTTTGCACCTGTAAAGGAGCCTCAGCTGGCGCGCTTCCGAAATGTCCTTGGTACTCATCGGGGTGTTGGCGGTGGCACTGGCTCTGGGGTGAGGGGCGACCTCCTGATTCACGTCCTGATCAGCGTTGTCGCTGCTGTGGAAGCGAGGCCACCCCGAGAGGCTACCCTCCAACTGTCTCGAAAGATCAGCAGGGAGATAATGTCGTGAAGACGCTACCTTTGTGGTCTCCACTTGTGACACTTCCAACGAGGAAAGGCCCCGCCCCTGCCGCTGACCCACACAGTCGCTGGAGGATCTGTCCAAACCGTACATGTGCCACTTCAACCGGATCAAGCTTGCTTCCTCCGTGGAAGTCTCCCCCTCCAAGTAGAACTTGCTTAAAAATTGTAAATAATATCGCTGCAGAAGTTCGAAGCGCTTTATGTGTATCTCTCTACGAGTGAAGTGAGCGCTGTTGTACTTGCCGCCTCGGGTGGAGGAGGGATCTCCCCCCAAATGCCGATTCGATTCAGTAAGATGCTTCACCTGGAGATACTCTCCAAGGATATTCATTTTGTACTGCTGCCTCGTGAACTCCCTGAGGTGGAAGTAAAATTGGGTTTTCTCCATTTGGTAAATCTCGTCCAGAAAATAAATCTCGTCAACCTGGTCAGCCTTATCAGCCTTGTCAATCTGGTCAGCCTTATCAGCCTTGTCAATCTGGTCAACCTGGTCAACCTTCTCCACTTTACACCTGCTCTTTTTGCCAGTGCACAAAAGGGAGGAGTAACCGTTGGAGGTTTTTCCACTTGGGGGAGGTTCCAGATAAGACGGACCCACCTGGGTGACATCTCCGTGGGGGAAATTAAAGTCAGCGAAACGGACGTGGCTCCAAACATGTATGTCCTGATCGGTGCTCACACATGAGAGGATAGTCTTTCTTCTATCAGAGAAAAGGGTGCAGATAATTCTATCTACGCTTCTTATCACGCTTTTCTTCCTTTCGCCCTGAGGATGTACATACACTTCTCCACTTCGCCACTCACTGGGGGCATTGTACAGGGGGAGGTGACCCGCGAAGTTGAAATCGGTGAAAATAGAATTTCTACGCGGTCTATTTGCCACTGTGGGGATATTTTCATCCTTTCTGTCTTCTCCTTGAGGGTCTCCTCCCACGGTACATCCACGGTGATTACTCCTTAGCTTATTAAGGCTGGAAAATATTCCTTTATGAAGTGTCTCTATCCTTGCCCTTATAGTGTGTACTTTGTGTGTCTTCTCCACTTGACTGTTGTGTGTCTCCCTCGAGTTTGCTTTCTCTTCTTCATCTTTAACGATCGGGTGGTCATTCGAATGGGAGTGGTCTCCCCACCGACCTCTTGTCCTCCACCCAGAGTTCACATAATCGGAGGAGGCTTCCATGGCGACGATTTCTCTTTTGAAATGGCTTCCACTAATGTCACCTGGAAGGATCTTCCCACTTGGAAGGTGTTTCCCACTTGGAAGGTGTTTCCCACTTGGAAGGTGTTTCTCACTTGGAAGGAGCTTCCCACTTGGTTGATCCTTCTGCACAATCTGAGGTCTCCCATAAGGCACCTCCGCTGAGTGGTATAATACACCCCTTCCTCTCTGTGTTGGCTCTGCTCTTTCTTCATCGTTTGAGGAGGCCACATCTTCTCCCCTGTTCGGAGGATCCACCTCACGGACACATGTTCCATCATTATGGCTGCATTTCTGCCAACTTAGCTGACATCCTTTTGAGGATTCCTCCTCGCTGGTAGTGGTCTCTTCTGTCCTTTCCATCCGTTTATCGGAGGAGTCATCGGGGTGAGACGAACCACCATGTGTGCAGGGACTGTACCATCTGATCGGTCTTCTCCTCCTACGCAATACACTACCCCCCCGTCTTCTCCTGCCCAGACCCCTACCGCTAGTCCTGTTACCCCCCTCGTCCCCCTCCCTCTTACTGCTTATTTCCAAAAAACGACCACTAGGATGGGAAAAAATGTAATCTATCATTGAGTTGAAAATGTGCCTGTATTTTATGTCGTACTTGTCCATGTGATCCGTTTGGCTGTTTTTGGTCGACGCGTTGGGGGGGTCGGGGTCATCGTATCGGCCATCAGGGGTGTCATCATCTGTGTCATCATGGCTGCCACCCGGGGAGGGGCACTTCTCGTTAAATTCTTCCCTCTCCACGGATATCAAATAATCTACAATGGAGTGCACATCGTCGCAGTTCATGTCCACCACGTGAGGGGCTTCCGTTGGAATGGCTCCGTTTGGAATGGCTCCGTTTGGAAGGGCTTCGTTTGGAATGGCTCCGTTTGGAAGGGCTTCGTTCGGAAGGGCTTCGTTCGGAAGGGCTTCGGTCAGAACTGCTTCTATTGTTCCGCCTTGTGCTTCTTTATAACTGGAGTTACCCTTATATGTGTGTGTGTTTGTGTTCGCTTCGTCCACTCCTTCGGCAGAGGGGTATCTGTAAAGACGCGGTTCGCCCAGGGGTGCCTCCAACTGTAGGTCATTCGGCTTAAATTCACTTCCGCCTTTGCGTTGGTAACTATCATATGGGGGCGTGCTAAAGTGGTCCTCATGTTGGGTACAATTCATGATGGCACTATCCTTTTCTGCTCTTCCGTTTTTACGAACTTCATGGCTGCCCTGTTCTTCCTCCTGTTCTTCTTCCTCCTGCTCCTGATCCGCTCCCTTTTTCCCCCTCTCGGGGTTATTTTCCCCTTCGTCCGCTTCTTTCATCCTGTGTTAGAAGCCAGGGCGGTCGCGCAAAGGGGTCACAAGTGGACACATGCTGGCCATCGTGCATCTGTGATATAGACATAAAATACAGGCGATCTCGCAAAAGTGAAGCATTGCAGAGGTGCCCTTCCCCCTGCCCCCCTTTATATACCTCCCTAGCTTCCCACAACTGCCGCTCATGTGAGGTTTTGAAAACCCTTTTCACCTGGAAGCCTCACCACGCCGCTTCCCCTTTTAACCGTGTAATCTTTCCATGCGATGCGTTTGAGAGAAGGCAAAGGACGTCCCCTTTAGTGCGCCCCCTTTTCTGTGCCCACCTTGGGGTAACGTCGGCCAAATTTTCCTCCTCCCTCCACTCGTCCCACTTCTTTCCTCAGCGCAGAACGGCATGTCAGAACTCAGCGGGTGCACTTCCAACTGATGACGCTACCTAATTCGTACTAGCACAGGTACGCAGGGAAAAAAAAAAAAAAAAAAAAAAAACCTTGCCGTTAGAAAGGTAGTACCCCCAAAGGATAACCAGCCTCGCTAAGGCTCCCTCTTTTTTGGACGTTTCGAAAGTTCACAGGAAAAGTGAGCCTCTCGAGAAAGAAAGGTTGACCATTTCTACACAGTTGGAGTCATTTCTAAATTAAGTGTCCCCTCGCCCCGCAGCCGGGCTCGCACTCGGCCACGCGTTTTTACACTTTTTTCCCGCGAGGGACTCTTTCCCCCTGAATTGCGCAGCACCAACAATGAACGATGATTGGGGTCAGCGCGCGTAGACTGGCGGGGTACCCCAAGGCCTCCTTCCACGAGCAGAATATAAACCCCTTCTCGAATGTGCAGTGGTAAGTGTGCATCGAAGCTGTGTAAAGGCACCAAAGGTGACCCCAAACTGGGTTGAAGCGACTTGAAGCCACTTGAAGCGCGTGGAACCGCGTCGAATCGCGCCACATCTATCCAAACTGCGTAAAACCACTTCAAATCTCGCCAAAACTCCCCCCCTCAGGAAAAGCACCCCCTTCCTAAAGAAGAACATGCCTAAGACGGACATCTTCGCAGAAGAGCACGTGTCAAGAAATGCCATTAGCGTCTTCGACAGGGAGAAGGGGAACTGGTTTGTCATCGACGCCTACAACAAAAGCGTCGGAAGTCTCAGCGTCTGCATTAGCAGATTGCTGCAGGGGAAGTATCGAGTCGACCACAACCCAAACAGAGTCAACAGCAGCAGTGTTATAGTCGTGAATGCAATCCATGTGAAGTTCTATGGCCACACGTGGGACACCAAGATATACAAATTTCCCCGAAAGAGTCACTCCAAGGGACCAAAAATCTTAACGTGTAAAACAGTTTTTGCTAAAAACCCTTCGATGATTTTAAACTTAGCTGTTAAGAGGATGCTTCCAAACAATCGACTACGTCAGCTGTATTACAGGAAGCTCTTTGTCTACCCGGGGGCTATCCACCCGCACTGGGGCATACCGCAGGTCATCGTTCCCAAGAAGGACATGGACCCCAATGGCGGCCGCCAAATGGTGAAGGCATTCACAGTCCTCTAAAAATGGGGGAATATCCCCCATGCCCCCTTTTTTTTTTTCTTTTTTTTGTGTGTGTACTTGACAGGAAAACAAAACACACGCAGCTCCTATTTTTTTGAAGGAGCACCTGGGATGATCCTTTTTTTTTTCCTACATGGAAGTCTTCATATATTTTGAATTTTGCCCCTATGGAGGGACATTTCTACTTTCTAAATCGACACACGCGAAGGGGAATGACAAAGGTGCAGTCAAAGCCGACACTCCCTCTCCCCCCATTAGGCAGTGCGCACCCTTGGCCTATACCCAACATCCCATTAGACCGTCACATATCAACGCTTGTTTTGAATCCACCTCGTTAGCAAAAAGAAAAAACAACGTGAAAGCAGCGTGTTGTACCCCATTTTTAGTTACCCCCACAGACCTTTTTTTTTTCCCTTCATCCCGTTCTGCATCCTTCCCCACTGCGGGCACACTGAGCAATTTTGAACAGGGCAATGATTCCCCCAGTGACATTTGCCTTGCCGTATAGCTCCAAAGGTGTAGACGATACGTGGAACGCGACAGAACGCGGATTGGACAGGGGACCCCACTTTAAAGGACCATCTTGAAATGGCCCCCCAGACAGACATACCCCGAAGGAACCTCCACATTTGCGTTCATAAACTGTCGTATAGTTCTGTATCGTCTATTTGCGGGTTGCTCCCCCCACGTGCGCGGTTCGCCACCAGAGGCTCCTTAATTTTGCGAATAATTCGTACAATAGGGGGGAATGCACTCCTTAGTATGTACGCCGAGTGAAGCATCTCATTGCGCAGTTGCAGAGGTAGGCCCACGCATACATCCCCGAATGTATCTTCACGGAAGCGTGCCCTTTCATACCCCTCGAATCAAACTTAGCCATAGCCCCAACCATTAAACACACTTCACAAAAGGGGTGATCCTCCCCCCTACCCCCTTTTTTTTGGGGGGGTGATGAGTGCTTTAAAATGTACAGGCATATGTATACGCAAGGCGACTTGCTAATATGATGTATACCTAGGGAGGCGTTCCACCTGGGAATGGCCCCCCCTCTACCTACAAAAACAGAGGAGCCAAATTAGCCATCACTCCCATTCTGAGCCACTTCCCTTTTGATGAAAAAAAAAAAAAAAAAAAAAGAACAAACAGGAGAAGCAGAGATAGGAAGCGGCTTGGGGAAGCCTCTGAATGGAAAAAGCGTAGATGGAATGCAGGTGCCCATTTTTTTTGCGACCATCCCCCAACGTGCACGCTTGTATTCGCAGGGCGCAACGCGACGGGTTGGTCCTTATGGGCTTGGCAATTGGGGGGAGGTCGAGCACCGCATCGTGTTCGCGCCTTCTCGAGCAGGGGTCGGTTCGGTCGGTTCGCCAAAATGTTTACGCTTCATTCATTTCGGCTTAACGGTATATTAAAAGAGTTCTCATTCCTTGCCCATTTTTATCCGCTCAGGCAATCATCCACCTATCAGCTGAGCCACTTATCCGCTGAGCGACTCATCCATTCTTTGCCACCTCTTTTCCCCTTGGCGCTACCGCCGCGTGAGGCATCACCCGTTCACCAGATCGCTCCACATAAATTGTAACGGCGAGCGGGAGAGCGGCAACCGGTGAACGCGCGGATTGTTTTCCTCTCCCACATGTGAAGTTATAGCACATATATGGATGCAACGTGCCCAGTGACTTACCATTCTCCTTCGTGCGAACTGATTTGGAAGGAACAGATTCCGAGCGTCGCGTTAAGCCCCCTCTGCGTTTAACCATCCCCCGAAGGGTAATAAGAGAGAGGGGGTCTCACTGAGCGAGTAGCTTCCCTTTTGGCAGTGGAGGCGTAGTATGCGCGCTTTTGATCCTACGCAAGGCGCGCGGGGATACTCTAGAAATATGCCGCTTGACAGCGCAGCGTATATGTGTTTGCCTGTGGGAGCACCCCCCTTCTCTCGACAGGCCCCTAACGAATGAGCAACGGGTGCAGTGAACGAGGACGCACCGAACCGCGGCGCCAGCGTATCGAAACGTCGCCCCGTTAAGGCTTCACCAGGTTGCAGCCTGGTCGAGCGACGGCTTCGTGGCGGCTTCGTGGCGGCTTCGTGGCGACACAGCTCCCCCACACCACCGCTTTGCGCTTCCCGTTTTGAAGGGGTACTTCGCGATTGCTCTCTTGAGGGGGTACTTCCCGATCGCTCCCTTGAAGGTCCACTTCCCGATAGCCCTCTCGAAGGTTCACTTCCCGATCGTTGTCTTCAACGTGCCCCTCCCACTTCCCCATCCCACCTCCGCTTCCCCTCTGCAAGAAAGATGGCGCTGAAGAGCATCAACATCAGCGGCAACTTCGATTGGTGCCCCTTCAAAAAGCACAAAAACTACCTGGCCTGTTTCACCTCGCACAATCTCCTCTACTCCAACGGCAACAATCTGAACAATTACGTGTACCTCCTAGACATAAACCTTAACAGCGATGGGAGAAGCTTAGAAATCGTGAGTAAGCTAAACTTTGAGGAAGCACTAAAAAGTGAGAAAAGTGGAAAAAAGAAAGGTACTAACGAGTATGTGACTAGCTTCGAATGGATTAACAGTAGCAGCTTTGTCGAATCGGAAGGGGAAGATGAGTTAGGCAAGGGAATCATAGTGGGGGGACTAACCAATGGAGACGTAATTCTACTGAATGCACAAAATCTCTTTCTGGAGAAGCCAACCCACGAACAGTTCATACTGAGCAAGGCAAATGTACATGAGGGGTCCATAAACTGTCTCGAGTGTAATAAGCACAAGAACCATTTGATAGCAACAGGAGGGAATGATGGCCAGCTATTTATTACCGACATTGAGAATATCTTGTCGCCAACTTCCTATGATCCCTATTTGGATAAAAATAACTTACAAAAGATTACGTGCCTGAATTGGAATAAGAAGGTGTCCCACATTTTGGCCACTTCCTCAAACAATGGGAATACGATCATCTGGGATTTGAAAATAAAAAAATCGGCTGTCAGTTTTAGGGATCCACATAGTAGAACAAAGACATCCTCTCTTGCATGGCTAGCCAATCAGCCAACTCAGATCTTAGTTGCGTATGACGATGAAAAGAGCCCTTGTTTACAACTGTGGGATTTAAGGAACGCAAACTACCCCATTAAGGAAATTATTGGACATTCCAAAGGGATAAACAACATCACCTTTAGCAGCATCGACACGAATTTGTTGATTTCTTCTGGGAAGGACACCACCAAATGCTGGTACTTGAGCAACAACAACTTTGACGTCTACAATGAGGTGAATAACTCGGCTAATAATATCTACTCCAAGTGGTCTCCTTTCATTCCAGACATGTTTGCCTCCGCTACGAATATGGACACGATCCAAATCAATTCGATTAACAACGGCATGAAGATGACTACCAAGTATGTCCCCAGCTTCTATAGGAAGGACGCGGGGATTACCTTCGGGTTTGGCGGCAAGATCTGCTTCTTTGACAACACCACGGGGGGGGACCCTACGAAGCAGGGCCAGTCAGACGGGAGCGATGTTGGCGGGGGTAGCGGCGTCAGCGCCCCCGAGAACAGGTTCCCCATCAAGTGCCATATTTACCCCACCGAAATGGAGCTCATCTCCGAGGCGGACAAATTCGAGAAATACATCGCCAGCGGGGACTACTTCGAGTTCTGCGAGAGTAAGATAGCCACGACGGAAGACGAATACGAGAAGCTCACATGGAGGATTTTGCAACTCCTGTGCACATCGCAGAAGGAAGGAATCGTCAAACATCTCGGTTATGACATGAACGAAATTGTACAGAAAATTCAAGACAGCACGGGAAAGCAACCAGGTTTTATCTTTAACAAGTTGGCTGAGGAGCAGAAGGAAAAGATGTTATCGAAGAACTCGTCTTCCTTTAATCTCCTCGGTCCAGATAGCATGATGGATTACTCCGGGGCGGGATTAATATCCGGGGCAGCAAACTACGAACCTATGAATGGTGGATTTATGGCTGGTGGTGCGGCTTCCATTGCCGGTGCTGCCTCTGTTCCTCCTGGTGGAGGCTCCCCCATGGGTATAGACACTTTGCAGGGCTTCAACGCCTCGTTGGATGTCGACCCGGAGAAGTTCTTTCGGGAGCTGGGCGAGAAGAAGGAGAATGAAGAGGCCAAGCAGGAGGGGGAGAAGCAGAAGGGAAGCAAAGCGGCGGAGGGGGAGCAGCAGAAGGGAAGCAAAGCGATGGAGGAGAAGCAGCAGAAGGAAGAGAAAGGGGAGAAAAAGGGAAAGGATAAAGGGAAGAAAAAAGGAAAGGGACCAGATGCCGGTTTAACAGGAGTGGCGGGCGAAGAGTACGACGATAAAGATGACGAAGGTGCCAAAGAGGATAAAACGGGAGGAAGGAAGGATAAAAATCAAACAAATGACGAAACAAATTGGAACTCCGGCATAGAGTCCATCATTAAAGAGTGTGTACTGGTAGGAAACATCGAAACGGCAGTGGAGTTATGTCTGCACAAGAACCGAATGGCTGATGCGTTGTTCTTATCCTCCTTTGGAGGCGAGCAGCTCTGGCACAAAACAAAAACCTTGTACATTCAGAAACAGAACAGTACCTTTATGAGAAGCCTGAATTACATTTTGGATGACCAACTGGAGCTGCTAGTTCAGCAGATCGACCTCTCCTCCTGGGGAGAGGCTCTCTCCATTCTATGCACATACGCATTAAATAAGGCTAACTTTAATAACCTCTGTGAAACACTAGCCAAGAGGTTGCAAAATGAGAAGTTTGACATCAGGGCAGCGTCCATTTGCTACCTATGTGCTTCTAACTTCGACCAGACAGTGCAAATCTGGAATGACATGCCTTCCACTCAGAGCTCTCTACTCAATGTACTCCAAGACATGGTAGAAAAAATGACCGTCCTGAAAATGGCTATAAAACATGACATGTTTAATGCGATTATGAATAGGAAGATTAATCAGTATGCTGAGTTGTTGGCAAATTCGGGTCGATTGAAAGCTGCCATGACGTTTTTGTGTCTTACTCAGGAAGATCAAACTGAGGAGAGCCTAATCCTACGAGACCGTATTTTCAACAGCGGTGCTCATATGCTGTCCCATCAAGTCAAGCCTCCGATGTCTCCTTTCCAGGTGTTACATGTAAAATCGACAGCTGCGGGGATGCTGCACCAGAACTATCATCAGGGTAATCAGAGCCCACAATTTAAGTCCAATGTCATGGGTGGTGGTATCCTGAACCCTAGTCAGTCCAATGTCTTCTCCCCCACTAAGAGTGCCACCTCCATGATTGTCCCCCCTCCGATGCCAGGCCAGATCACAGGGAACATCACAGGGCAAATGCCAAGACAGGTTTCAGGACACATCCCAGGACAGATGCAAATGGGTTACTCTTCCATGCCGCCCACCAAATTCAGCACCCAAGTTATAAGTTCCCCTCCATCCCAACGCGCATCCTTCGCAAGCACATCTTCTAAAAATTTCCCTATGGGCAACCTCAATCCAGTGAAGCCTCCATCCATGAGCACTATGTCTGCATCATACATGATGCCCCCCTCAGGACCCCCCCCCTCCGCTACATGCCCAATTGGTACATCTCCCCCTTCCTACGCTTCTATGTCGAACCTTTCAAATTTTGTCGCGCCACCGGGTATCAAATCAGAGCAAGATGATCTGAAGCAGAACACACCAACAACGGGAGTTCCACTAGGAGCGGGAGGAGGACCCATGTTTCCCCCTCAGTCCTATGCCAACCAGAGACGAATTCAACCCGGTGGAAATGTCCCCCCCCCTGCTGCTCCCACACCTTCACAAGGGAACCAAATGAACAACCGTGGTTTCCCCTCCATGCAAAATATCGCACCTCTTGCCCCCCCCGGAAACAGAAATCCATCCATCTCGTCCAATCCGAGTAGTATGTCCTTCCAGCAGGATAACTCTGGCCAACAGTTTCTCAAGAGGGAGTGCATGGATCAGCAGGCTCCTTACGGAGGGGCAGTGAGCCCCCCCGGCATGCAGCCGAATAGTTTCGGCACCTCTTTCCAGGACAGCACGAACAAGGTCGGGCTTGGCGGCCAGTCGGCCGGCCCTCCCTCTTCAGGTTAGGCGCGCGCGGAGCAGTCCATGCGGATCAGTCTGCGCAGAGCAGTTCGTGTAGCAGTTCGTGTAGCCCGGTGTGTGTAGAGATGCATGCAGCGCTCCGAGCTGCTATATTTGTATCGGTTCACCTGGAGCGCTCTCTCCCTATCCATTTGTGCGTTTCCTCTCCCTATCCATTTGTGCAGGTCTCAGCACGACATCCCCAATCGCGGGCGCCCTGACTGTCACCCCCGGAATGCCGGTCCCATGGCCAATCCCCACGACGACGCAGCAGGTACGCACGGAAGAGTGTGGTTGGCCGGCCTGATTATAGCCGCCTCGCTGTTTAGCCGCCCCGATTAATCACCTCGCTTCTTCCCGACTCCACCATCATAATGCCATTCCCACGCATCTCCCCCCCGGCGCAGCTCGGATCCACGACCACCTCCACGGCGAACGAAAACAAGAAGATACAAACCGCCACGAAGGAGCAAAACGGCGTGTTCATGGGAAGAAGCAACGTAGACAATGTTAAGAAGACAATAAGTAGTTTCCTCAATGGGTACACCTCACAGGAGCCAATGAAGAAGAAGGCAGAAGACGTATCAGTCAAGGTTCACGAGTTGTTCGATAAGCTGGACACTGGGTCGTTTAATCAGCAGATAAATGACAGCATCGTTAATATGGTTAATGCACTTAATGCGAATGACTTCAGGGCAGCCAACAAGGTTATAGTGGACCTGAGTAGGAACTTATGGGATGGAAGCAACAAGTCATGGTATGAGCATCGCCACGCATGGCAGTGTGTGTGTAGGCAATGTGTAGTACAGCGTCTGCCAGTGGGTTATTCTTCTCCCCCTGCGCGATAATTTTTTCGTAATTTCCTCCACGCACCTCTAATAAGAAGTGGAATTCATCTGTTTAATCATTTTCCGATTTTTTTTTTATTTTTGCAGGATTATGGGCCTCAAGTGCATTATACCAAAATGCTGACGCGACCGGGTGTGACATATATGACCGTTGCGCCATGTAATGTATTTTTTTTTTATTTTTTTTTTTTTCCTCTCCATTGGACTCCCAACCCGCCCCAAAAGACTGCTTAATTAAAAGAAAGGCAAATGGCTTGCCCGCCTTCTTGATGGGTACATGGTCATACAGACCGCATTCGCTTTTTAGTTGGCCGTGATTACGCCGCGCCACTGCTGCATATATAATATATATGTATAATATATCTATATATATTTTTTTCTTTTCCACTACGTTCGTTAGTGCTAAACTTATGCTGAGTTTCCTTCAAATCGTGTAAAAAGGCACAGGTGGTAGGGGCCTCCTCGTCGCGAGGAAGCCACGAAGGGCAGCTATATGCAAGGGTCCCCCGCGCGAAGGCGTGGGCGGGCCGGAGGAGCAGTTACGCAGCTGTATGGATAAGAAGCGTCGCTCAGCCGAGTGGAAAGAGCGCTCCGCTGGGTAGCAGTTCGCTGGGTAGCAGTTCGCTGGGTGTCAGTTCGCCGCTGAACGGTTAACCGCTAATCCGGTCAACTGCTGATTTGCTGATCCGCTCCCCCCCTAGAAGGCGTCGTCGTAGTCCGGGTTTTTGTCGCGCGGCTTGGGGCCGCCGGCGGGCTTGGCCAGGATAATCTGGTCAATCTTGAGAATGGTCTGCACAGCGTCCATGGCCAAATCGATGGCATACTTCTTGCACTTGAAGTTATCGTAAATGTGGTTATCCTTAGCGGAGGTGACGAAGGAGTCCTTGTTTATATTCACACACACATCGGTGTTCCCCTTGTTGTGTTCATTAATGAGTTGGTTGAGGACGTCAGTACTGTTGTAGCCACAGTTTGTGGCAAGGATTCGTGGGACGACGAGGAAGGATTCTGCAAAAACTTTAACGCTGTAGTTGTGCACGCCCTTTAACTGGTGAGCGTATTTTTTAAGTCGCTCACATAGCTGAACTTCGATACAGCCCCCACCGTAAAGGAAGGAATTCCCTTTGATGGCGTTCTTTATAGCATTGATCCCGTCATGGATGCACCGTTCTACTTCATCCAGTAGGTTATACGTGGCCCCCCTCAGGATAATAGTACTGACCTTTTTATTCATCGAATTAATGATGGTTACTTTTTTGGAGGCAATTTCGGACACATATATTGAGGAGGCTTTTCCGATTTCTTCTGGTTTGGGGACAGCTAACTTGACGAGGGAAGTTATGTTAAGAAGCTTACATAATCGTAAGGTCTCAAACTTGGAGGGTATCTTCAACGTCATGATCTGTTCTGCATCACAGAAATGTTGTGCGATGTCGGAGATGGCTCCATTAACAATAATCACATCGACTCCCTCTTTTTTTATATTGGAAATAATTTTCTTCATTTGCTCTTCCTCCCCTTTGGTGAAGTTCAGTAACTCCTGTGCGTTGTTTAGCAGTACTGTCCCTTTGGTCTCCGTCGTGGCTGCTTCCAATCCACAGTTCAGCACAATGACGTTTGCATTTTCTTTCCTCTTAACGATTCCGTGTGTATCTCTAGTGATTACCATTCCCATGATGAACTGAGAATCGATTAGATTCCCTCCATTCAGTTTTGATATTCTGATGTTGTCCACATCGAAAAGTTCTATCTTCTCTTCTGGCATTAACGTCGCTATACATTTAGCTAACAGAGTGGTGATAAAATCGAAGTTATTCGTCAGATTCTTCGTTACCATAACAGATTTAATGACCTTCTTAATTTCTTCCTCATCGGAGAAGTTTTCCATTTTGTAGACAATCAGCTCGGAGGAGATGATTCTTTCGATTTCTTTGTATCCTAAAATGAACCCGGTTAGAATGTCATTGATATTGAACCCCTGCTGAATCAAATGGCTAGCTTTATCGAGCATCTCCGTCGTTAAGGTAAAAACATAGTTGGTGAAATCGCCATATTCATAGTTCATCGTCTCGGATAGCTTCTTCAGGATGTTCACCACCGGGTGGTTTATCTCCAAATCTTTCAGGATAGTGATACAGTCACTGGAAATCACCTTCTTGTTGATGTGGTTAATGATTAGCTTGTTCATGCTCTTGGGCCCAAGCGACGTCTGGATAATGCCGCAAATTTCCTTGCACGCCTCGATGTTCTTCAGGATCGCGTCCTCGTTGTTCTTCACGATGCGGTACCCATCCTTCAGGACGGAGTTGAACCCGTGCTTGTGGGCGAACTGGGGTGGGAGGAAGTGAGGCGGTGAGGAAGTGACGCTGCGGGGAGAGCTACTTAAGCGGGGGAGGGCCTGACCAACCCGCGCGTGCCCCATCAAGTGGGACAACTACACCTGCTAAAGGTGGGAGAGACCCCCTCAAATGGGGAACACTCCCTAATTAGTGCATCTCCAAAAAAGCACTTACCATGGTTTGGTGATCTTCACGAGTGTAGTCCTCACAGGAAGTGAGTGAGAGCAATACTGAGCGGAAGAAGCTCCTATGCGTGTGTTATGTGTACAGCAGAGCCGATATATCACGTTTCGGTCTGCCACACCGTGAAGTTGCGGGGAAGCTACGCCTGATAGGAGACTTTCCTCCTGTGGAATACCTTCTCAGAGACTGCGCACACGAGGTAGAAATATCTGTAATGGTACACTTTCACCCGGGAGTTGCTGCTCCGCGCTCTCTCCTGATTTGTTAATTCTCTTCCGCAGGATGGTCTGTAGGAAAGGAGCAATGATGTGAAAGTTCCTCACAGTGGTTTCTCTGACATCTACCTTTCGCGATTGGTACGCTTTGCAATGTTCTATATTTTAAGATAGCAAGGTTTATGTGCTTTTTTTTTTTTTTTTTTTCCTTATCGTTCTTTCTCCCTCTATGTTGCATTTTTTTTTTTTTTTCGCCTTGTAGGGCGCAACCCCGGGGTATGCCTATAAGCACAGGGATGCGTGCACCGGCTGCGGGGTAAGGGCATCCCACATTATGGATGTGATCGCCCCATTGCGCTACCACAGGATTCCTATTTGCATACACGTATGGGCAGGCGCAGAAGATAGAGATCCCCACCTGGCACACAAAAAAAAAGAAAAAAAAAAAACGGGCATCCCAATGCATAGGTGCTACTGTGCGTTGTAGCAACCTCTTGGCAGCCTTTACCTTTTTCTTCTTTCTTTCCTGTCCGTTGGATGAGCCTCCAGAGGGAGTGTTTCCAACGAACGAGGAAAGAGGCACCAGTAGCAAGCGGCAACCACGCGGTAGTGGAAAAAGTGCACGGGGTGAGCTTTCTTCTCCAGTCGTGATGGATGTTCACCACGCAGAAGACTCGTCCATCCAGCGGAATGTCGATGCAGAGAGACGCCTACACGGCGGCGTGCCGAAAATGAAAGCGCGCATGGGAAGGTCCCACGGGGTTGGTTAACGGGCTGGTGACGGGCTCGCAACGGGCGTGTACCTGACCCACAAACGGCCGTCCGCATGCAGTTTTTTTTTTTTTTCTACTTCAACTTTTTGCTCCCCCCCTATCGGTCAAATTACTTGGACCACCATTTGTCAATTTTATTTCCAGCCTATTCGCAAAATCTCTTTTCCTTTTTTTTGGTGATAATTTCTTTCCCGCCATTTTCTGCGGACGTTTCGCGCTATCTACTAGTTTGGAGGCCCTCCATTTGGGATGTCCCCTCATTTGAAGGCTGCGACGCTACGAAACCGGTTGCGGCGTGACCAAACTGCTGCGCTGCTAGGAAACTTGCTGCCCCCTGCGAGGCGAACCCTTCTCAGGGGCAGCTGCTATCAAACCAGGTGATATATAACGTGACACATGTCGCCGAACTAGTATAGATTGACATGTCGAGTGAGGGGGTCGCTCGCTATCCGCCTTGTCACCCGCTGCCCACTGCCAACCCGCACAAAATGAATGCACAAATCAGGAAAAAAAAAAACTTCCTTGAGAGGGAAACAAAGCTGAACAATTTGGCAAAGATCTTCCACCGGAAACTCGAAACGTTGCTCATATACATAACGGTTCCAAAGAAGAAACAGGAGAAGCTATTCTTTGATGATTTTTTTAATGTAGAGGAGGTGAGCGCGTACATAAACACGGTTGTGGAGGATGAGCACCGTGCCGACGGGGAGGGTAACCATCTGCCAGACCGCCCCTCCTCAGGGGAGAGCCTGAACCTGAACGCAGACAACGAAATAAAAAGCAGCAAAGACATTTTTATAAAAAACCTGCTGATCTTCCTGAACAATCTGATCGTTCTCTACTTCTCCAAGAGCAACCTAATCGATGTCTGTATAAATCGAAGGAGCTTCAACAAGTGTGGCTTCTATGCATGTGACAATGTGTTCTTAACCCCCTCCAACAAGGGCAAATACAAAATAGACCCCAAAAGTAGGAACATTTACCTCAGGGAATACTACGATTTGTTCTGCTCCGCCAGGTGCATGAATTATAATCTCCACCTGCTTAAAGAAATCGCAAAGAAGGAGAAGGATGCGAGGGGTGGGAAGAATGGGAATATCGCCAAAGGGGGAGAGGAAGGCAGGAAAAATCTCAAAACCAAGTGCCAGTTAATATACATCATGTTCTTAACCTTCTTCCCCATTTTTAAGTTTCACGACATTAATGTACTTCTAAACAATTTAGAGCTCGTCCACATTCAGAACAACAGGATATTTTTGAAGCCCGGGGGGGAGCAGGGACAGGCCCAGGTGGATGGCAAGGACAAAGGGGACGCAGCTCACATCGATGAAAAGAAAGCAGAGAATGGTGAGGACAAAGTATGCACCATTAGAACGCTGAAGAATGAGGTTAGTCAGAAAACACGTCAGTTGAGGAAGACCCTCTTTCCAGTCATCGTGGAGAAGCAGGAGGGGTGTGAAGACAGTGAGGAGGAAATCGCCGAGAAGGAAATCGCCGACAAGGAAACCACCGACAAAATCACCGAGGAATCCACAAATGGCACCTCTCCCAATGGGAAGGCCCTCTCTAACCACGTGGTGAGTAACCACCCACAGGGGGAAACATCCAATGGGACAGATGGAAATAAAGTTATCATTCTTCCCCTGAGGGAATCCCTCAGAGGGTATGCCGAAGTGAAGACAGAGGAGGATCCCACCAACGAAGAAGGGGATAGTTGTCCAAAACGAGAACAGGGGAAAGACAATAACTGCAAGAACGTCAGATTTAATGAATACATCCAAACGTATGAGTACGTGAAAGACGAACGGGTAGATGTCTATAGTGTGGCTAGGACCTCCATGGAGGCGAGCCACGGGGGCAATGCACAAGGGGGGGATTCTCCGCCGAGTGGGGGGAGCATTCTGTCTGACGATCCCCTATCGGATGAGGACGACCATAGGAGGAAGGTCCACCCCGGTGTGTCTCCAGAAGAGGGCGAAACTAGCATTGAAGCAGAGTCACTTGAGGAGACGAACGAACTAGCCGTGACGCTTCATCGCGCTAATGATGAGAAGATGAAAGAAGCGATGAACGCAGAAGCCGAGGGTGAGAGGAACCCCTCCGATGGCGAAATGGACCAAGTGTATGAACAAGTCAGGGAGTCCATTTTTACAAACCGTAAACACTTCTTTGAGGACATCCTGGGGAACACCCTTTTCGATTCGGACAAGGTTATCGGGTTTGACTACGAGGCCGGGGAGGAGAAAGAGAAAGAAAAGGAGAAGAAGAAAACAGAAATCGTGGAGGAGAACGCAGCGGAACAGGTGGAGGAAGCGAAGGAGGTGGAACAGACGGAGGAGAACGCAGCGGAACAGGTGGAGGAAGCGAAGGAGGTGGAACAGACGGAGGAGAACCAACCGGAACAGGTGGAGGAAGCGAAGGAGGTGGAACAGACGGAGGAGAAGCAACCTGAACGGGTGGAGGAAACGAAGCAAGCGGAACAGGAGAAGACTGAGAAAGACCTCCGGACGTGCGCCACGCAGCGGATGAGCGAAATTAACCTGAAGCACGACCGGGAGAAGAAGGGGAGGCGGATCGTTTTGCTGAGCTCGCCCGGCGGAGGGGGGGCGTCAATGGGGATTCCCCAGGTCAATGAAGATGGGGGTGCACCTGAGGACGATGAGGCGGAGGCCATTGGCGGGATGAGCGGCGTGATGGGAGGCCAAGAAGATGATGCTTCCTCTTACGGTGACGAAGAGACTGCCCCAGGTGCTGAAGAAAAGGATGACGCTGTCCCGGCTGATGATAAAAAGGAGGATGCTGTACCGGTTGATGGTAAAAAGGATGATACTGGCCCGGATGATGCTGCCGCTGCTGATGGCGAAAACCAAGATACTTCCTCTTACGCCTCCCCCGGTGGTGGCGAAAACGAAGATGCCTCCCCTCACGGTGACGAGGACGACGCGAATCTGCAAAACCTGTTGACGGAGAAGAAGAAAAAAATCAGCGAGCAGTACGACGAGGTGTTCAATAAATTCATGCCTACGTTCCTGTTCGCAGGGACAGACGGCGAAAGCGGAGGCGAAGAATGCCCCATAGATCCTCTCCAGGAGAAGGACGAATCATCAGATGACGAAGAACAGGTGCAACAAGTGAAGGGACAAAATAAGTACACTTACAGCACAGAAAAGTGCAGCGCGTACGAAGACATGTCCCTTTATGTAGTCCTTTGGGACATACTCACAGGGATCATATCAAAGTATACCGTTTACTATTTCGAAAGAAGTGAATTCATCATCCCTAAGTGTCCAACTGAAGTGGAGAGAGATAGGAAAAACGAATTCTTGAGAAATGTCTCACAGCATATGCCCAGAACTATCCACCCGATTGCTCCCACCGTCTTCAATGTCTGCCAAACCTTTTCTTTTGGCAAGCCGCTGTTACCATTTAAGAAAATAGTATACGAGTCCATTATCTACGTCATTGCAACGGCGCTTGGACGCCACAAGGTCGAATTCATTCCTTCCGGAGAGATGGGGAACATCCGGAAGGCCGAGGAGTTTCTGACTTTGGAAAACGGAATGGACGGGCAAGAGCTGGACGAGTTGGCGATGCTTTTTTATCAACACTTTTACTACTAGGTGGGGGGGGAAGTGGAAAAACAGATGATTCCTCCTCTCGAGGCCCATCCTATGCGGCATTCCATCCTACGCTGCATTCCATCCCACGTCGCATTCCCACCTACGCCGCAGTCCAGTTCATCCCCCTCGTCATGCCGCTCTGTACATGTTCAGACACCGCACCGAAGCGATGCTGTGTGAGTGGCATTATTTTTTTTTTTTTTTTCCAATGTGTGTGACCACACAGTTTGTTCATTATGTATTTGTGTGAGGGGGTAACACTGGCCTGGGGGACAGTGACCGCCCTTCCCATCGTTGGACTAATCGGCGAAGTACATCCAGTAGTTAACCACAAAGAGGAGGAGAAGCCTACTTATCGGAAGAACACTGTGATATATTTTGCCATCAATGGTAATCACAAAGGAGACGAAGGTACTAAGTGGACATTTGGAGCCTGCCTCCTCCTGCGTCTGTTTCGTGGCGCACTTCAGCTGCTCATCTTGGGGGCGGACTTTCGATTCCGCTCGGCGTGGACTGCTTTGACGCTTCTCACCTTTTGTATCGTCTTCATCATATGTCTTTTTTGCTCCCTGTCCATCATCTGGTCCTTTTGCCCCTTGTCCATCCTCTTCTTCTTTTGATCCTTGTCCATCTTCTTGTCCTTTTCCTTCTTGTCCTTTTCCCACCTGTTCATTCTTTTCCACTTCATCCGCCCTTTTTTCCGTGCCCCCCGACTTGATGACGTCCCTTTTTTGCCCCTCCTCGCAAAGATCGTCAAATGATAACGTGTCGCCCCGCGCACTTCTAACCAGCGTGGATAGATTCCTCATCTGTGCACACACCTTTTCACAGTGCCTGTTGCAATGAATGTTGCAATCCATGCTGCAATCCGTGCCGCAATCCGCGGACGGCACGAACGGCCCAACTGGCAATATGTCGCAATCCCAGGCTTCGAAGAATAGGCTGGCGCGCTCCGAAAGGCGAATTCCCGGGGCATACCTTTTGAAGGCATTCCTATTGTTGATTAGTTCGACGGGCACGGGACATTGCAGGGGGTACGTAACTGGATATGCGACTGGCCCCTCCACGTTCGTTCCCCGCTTCCCCCCCTTGGACAAGTAAAATTTCCTTGCCACGTCATTCTTTCGGCAGTGGATGGCCTCCACGTAGCTCCACTGTCGCATATCTGCGCAGCTATCTTGGTTGCAACTGAACCGAAGGAGCGAGCTCACCGGGGGGTTCTTCTTCGTCCAGGCGGGGGGCTCGTACTCCGTTTTCGCCTTCGATGTGGTAGTGGCTCCCTCTATTGCCCTGCGCCCGCCCTTCTCCACCCCTGGCACTACCAAATCGAAGGCGAAAACGGAGTACGATCCCCCCAACTGGTCCTTGGCAAAGACATGCGCACACAGACCCCCAGAGGAGTAGTTCCCCGGAGCAAGACGCGTGTGGTAACGCATAATAGCTACTTTATCTCCATAGGCGCACTGATCATACAACAATTTTTTGTACAACGGGGGGATTCTACATTGCTCCAAATGGCTGACAAAATTTAACGCAGAAAGGAAGGGGATGTTATTTATGTAGAGCTTCTCCTTCTTGCCCTTCTTCCCATGTACGTATGGATGATGATTCGTGTACGCGTCCTTATATGCGGAAAGCAAATCATAAAAGTCACTATCGCTGCTGGTGTGCAGTTGGTAGTCCGTCCCCAGGGATACCCTTCCATCGCGAATTCCCTCCTGATTAGCCATCTGACTATACTGCTTGTGCATAAGGGCATACAACTTTAGGAGCCCCTTATTTGTGTGCACGTGGTTGTTTACCCGGATGTTGTAGGGAGGGAGTTTCTTTATCTCTCTACAGTAAGCCACGTGACCAGAACTGCTTATTTCGATCACGTGCAGGGGGAGACATGGCATGCCTCTGCTCAACTTATTTACTCCACAGGACAGCAATTTTGAGTATATCATTTCTTTGTTTATAAAAAAAAATAAATTGTAAACCCCTTTCTTAAGTTGGGGTGAAAATGAGCTTAATATATTTCCATCCAACCTGGCGGGTAGGGTAAAGCTTTCCCCTTGTCCGCTTATCTGCATTTCTATCCTGCCCTCATGCATCGTTCTGTTCGCTAACACCACGTTCACCTTGTCTTGACAGTGCTCATATAGTAGAGAGGTATAGCTTTGCACCATTAGGATTTTCCCATCGTGGCCAAAAATGGATTTATCTTCCTCCTTCTTCAGGTTGATCTGCGGTCTTGTGTCGATCCATCCTGTGTTATCATGTCCATTCAAACCACGCTGGTCTATTCTGTTCTTCCCCCGGGGGAAGTTCATCTGTTTATCTGGATCATCCCCCTGCGTGGGACCACCAACAGAGGAGTCACCATCTTGTAACCCCCCCTTTTCGTTGGAAACACTACACTCTGCGAAGATGTCTTGAATTTGTCTCCTTAAGATGTACGAAAACTGGTTGTTTTCCATTTAAGGCGTGGGTTGAAGAAAAGGGGGAAAAAAAAAAGAAAAAAAAAGACCGTTCTCAGGGGGGGGAGGATTCCCCAACGCATGCAGCGTTGTCCACTCTTGTGAGTTCTTATCAACTTTGCAAGTAGGGAAACGGGATGGACTGAACAATTTTTTTTTCTTCCTATGCGCCCAGATTGCTTCTACTATTGTTGCTGCTACTGTTGCTTCTATTGCCACCACTGCGGGGGGTGGAATTCCCCTCCAAAAGAAGCGCCACAATTCGAGTGGACCCCCCCCCCAAATGCTTCTCCTCCGTGAAGGGGGCAAATTTACACGATTGAAACTTCCCACAGTTAACGTTTTTTTCGCCTTTCCTTTTGTCCAATATGAAAGGGAAAAAAAAAGAATAAAAGAAGAAAAAAAAAAAAGCAGTCTTAAAAATAATTGTGGAAATGAATTCCCCTTTTGTACACAAACTATGTACATACATATGCACACCAATTTGAAGTTAAAATTAAAAAAAAAAAAAAAAAGGGGGCAACTTTCGTGAGAGATAAGGGGCTCCAAAAATGGGGAAATGAAAAAGGCACATGCGTCTAGGCACACAAACAAAACATACACATCTATGCGTTGGAAGATAAACAACCCAACTATCTTCTGCAAAACTGCTGAATTGTCTTAATAAAAAAAAACATCAAAGCAAATGACTGTACAACTCTGGAAGACGAGGGGGGAGGGGTCCCCCACGTAACTGTTGCGTTGGTTAGCCACACTGTGCGGTACTGCCATATACTACCCCGTGTTGTTTTCCTTCTTTTGTTTTTCTCCCATACGGGACGGACTCTGCATCGTTTTCTCCCGGGTTGCTCCCTGGGTCATCCCCAACTTAGGGGAGTTCACAGCACGCCGCGTTTTCTCAGTTGTGCTTACTTCTCCTCGCTTCTCCTTAATTCTCCTAACTTATCCTCAGTTTTCCTCACTCCTCCTCACTTCATCTCCTCCTTCAGTGTCTTGTGCAGACGGTCGGATATTTCCGGCAGCATGGGTTCATGCTTGTCGAAGCACTTGACCACGCACCCCTCCATTTCTTTTTCGATGGTTGGGCCGTCTATGTTAGCGTTGCTCTTGGCATAATTGGGGGAGTACTTGTAGAAGCAGGACTGAAAAGGGGGCGAGGGAAGGAGCACAAGGTGGAGAAGATGCACATAACAGGTGGCACCTCTGTACTGGATGCCTTCCAGGGAGCCCCAGCCCGAAGCACACACAGGTAAAGTTGCACAAGGGCATGGCGCGGCATTATTTTATTTTTTCCTCGTTTTCCTTTTTTCGGCTTACCTGCTGGCAGGACTGCAAATTATTCTGCAAGTTTTGCATCTCATTTTGGACGACCTGCACGAAGTGCTCCGTCCCCTTCTGGCAGTTGTTCACGCATTTGCCGATGGTCTCGAAGTCCGTGTTGTATGTGTCGAAGCAGTTCACGCAGCAAATGAAGGATTTCTTCTGGAAGGGCAAGCTTTCCGTGCTTATTTTGTTAAGTATGCTATCTATTTTGGATTGGAATTCATTTGTCCTTTTGGTCAGGTTGGTTATCATGTGGTTGGTGGAGGGACTACTGAGGAACGACATTTTTGCCGGGTCGCTTGAGAGGTAGGTGATGGTGGGCGATTGGCGCGGTATATATGACGGCTGGCACACTATATATGGCGGATGACACACTATATATGGCAGTCTTTTTAGTCATCGATAGAGTCACACTCCTCAGTGGTGAAACGTCTCCTCAGGTCCACTCCTCACTAATCTTTGCTGCACTTAAAGCTTCGATCCCCTTGTGACCCTACAAAGGATGTCCCTTCTGTTCTTTTTTCTTTTCTTCACTCACGCGCAATGTTGTTCCTTTTTTCGACGAAAGTGACTTTTCTTCTTTTCCCTTCCACGTAACAGCTGAACTTCGCCTTAATTAACATTAACGATATGAATTATTTTTCGAAAAAAACAAAACCCATTTTGTGCTTCTTGTCAAGTACGAGGGAGGTCACATTTTACCGCTGCTACATGTATGCCATTTTTACATGAACATGGAATAGTTTTTTTTTTTTTTTTTTTTTTCATATTTTTTTTCTTGGCTAACTGGCATAGGATACCTGTAACTATTCTTTTCCTACTTCTTCAGAGCAATCCCTTCTGTAATGCCGCATTTCCTTTTGCAGTTAGTTTTTCTTCCAGTTTACTTCCCTCACGAGTGCCTCTTCCGATGAAACGACTTTGATTCTGACGAGGTGGGTGAGAATTGCCAACATGGGCACATATGTTCCTATATTCATTTCGAAATGGAGAGAGAGTCCAAAGGAGGACTGCATCAGCAGGAGGAAAAATTGTAACCCCAAAGGGAATAACTCACTGGATGGTAGAAACAGAGCCGATGTGGCACTTCGTTTTGATTACCTTGAATTTGCCCCTTAAGGAAAATTTGAGTGTGTTCCCCCAAATGGTACTTACGAAAAATGGGGAGCTGTTCAGTTGCCCAATTGTGCAGGCTGTGGGGGTTAAATAAAGAACTCATAAAATGCAAGCAGTAAAGAAGAGGAAACAAATTGGGTGCCACCCACCGGCATCTTTTTCTCTGCCATTATGACGGATCGGCTAAGCCGCCCAGGAGAACCTGCAACGTTGCAGCGTCTGCCCTGTAACTGCATTGGGAGACACCTTAAATGGAGTCCAACATGGCAGTATGCTACCTTCGCGTGCGTACAACGGAGAGAAAAATAAAGGGGCTCTGCGAACAAAGCGGGGGTAGGCCTCTTACACATGCAGACAAAACGGATACGTAACATTTTTGCTTTAGCTCTGAGAGAACTTTGGAGGATGGAAAAGAGGCGTGATTACATGGGTGGCCGATTGGCAGTCTTCCCACGTACCACTTTCCAGAGCAGTAACTCCAAAGATGATCGGCGCGCCGCCAATTCGCCTCTCAGACCGCAGACCTACGTGAGCTGTGTAAAACGATAGAGGAGAGACACTCTCCTTTCCCCAGGGTACACAAACATGTTACGAAAATGAAGGCAAAATTTAGTTCTCCCTTTTTCTCATTTTTTCTCACTTCTTCTCGCCTTATAAGTTTTAGCGGCGTGGACTTCCACCCGTTTGTTACTTCAGTAAGGTGACGCACTAGGCAGATGTCTTTTTTTTTTTTTTTTTTTCTGTCTGTTTTGTCTCGCGCACTGTGGGAAGGTGAATATCAGCAAAAATGGGCGGAAATAAAAAGAGGGAGATGCGTCTGGTCACGTGGATAGGTACCTACTGCTCTTCCTTCTTTTCCCACCGTGCAGGGACTTACCCATCCGCTAAGTACAACGTTGCGGAGGTTTATATATATGGCACAGCCTCGCTGTTCTTTATTTCAGTCTGCTGTTGGCATGAATCCCAGTTAGGCTTCTCTTTAACGTCTGTTCACTTCTCGCATCTCACAATAAGTGACACTACAAGATGTACGATGACGCGTTACGATTCCTGTTCCGACTTCCAATACATCAGCGAGAATGTTATGTGCCTTTTGCAAGGTAGTTGTATTTGTCTCCTTAACCTTGTAAACAATGAGAGGAAGTTTTTGTTCATTTCGTGCTGTGAGACCCTTGGGGAAGTTCGCTTCGAGTTGGCCGCAGGGGGCCAGGGTAGAAGAGACGCGAAGGTAGCGGTTGGCCTCACCACAGAGGTTGCGATGAAGGGGGAAACGAACGGGGAAAGGGACGGAGAAATGAACGAAGAAATGAACGCAGAAACGAACGATGGCAGAGACAACGTGGAGGGCAGGTATAGCCCATACCCCGTGAGGAAAATCTCCTGCAGTGAGAAGGAGCATGCCATGGCAGTGGTCATACATAGAGGCTCTGGCGATTTGCTGTGCTACCTCGTATTCGATGAGGCGAATGGGTTAAACTCCTTCGAGGTGCTCTTAACACACAGGGTTAGGGAAACCATAAAAGACGTAACACTGGGGGATGGCAAGGTGTACCTCCTACTAAAGAGGCGCCGTGAGCCCCCCCTGCAGGAGGGAGCGCTGTCTGGAAGGGATAACACCGGGAAGTTAAGCGACGAGTTGGACTGCAAGCTACCCTGCGACGCGGACTACCTCATCTGCGCCCTGAAGTTGGCTAGCAACAAAAAAGAAGAAAACCCGGAAGTAATCGCCACGCACAAGTCCTCATCGAGATTTAAAAAAATGATGGTGTGTCCCTACAATGGGAAGAAAATCATTTTGGTGTCAAAAAGGAGTGTCTTCTTTGTAGCCACCTCAAATGAACAGCCTTCAAAAGGAAACGTAACCACCGTGTCGAAGGAACTCTTCTTGAACAGTCCCATTGTAGCAACCTCGTGGCTAGACTTCCACGTCTTCACCATCTGCCTCTCCAATAATGAGCTCCTTTTTTTTGATCTTTCCACCAATTCGAGGCACCTGCCTCGGGTGAGGTGCCACAACAGCTACTCGAGAATCTGCTCCATTTTTTACCAGCCCGAGTACCTCTTCGTCGCGTTCGCTACGAAGGAAATTGTCTGCTTCCGCGTGAACTACGGCGCGCTTCCCCCGGCCGCCTTTCGCCAGGTGGGGCTAAGCGGCGTCGTTAAGCGGCGGTGTGGTTAAGCGGCGGTGCGGCTAAGCGGTGGTGTGGCTACTCGGTGGTGACATATGCCCTAGCGCCGCCGCCAACTCGCCAACTCGCTAACATGGCACGCCTCTAATTGTGTACCCCTTTTCACCCATTTGCTTCTGATCACCAGGTAACCCCCGTGGAAGAGAACTACGTGAGTACCAAGTGCTTATTTCAAAAGAGACAGGAGAACCGGAAGGCGCAGGAGAAGCCCTCAATGGAGGCACCTCCGAACGAACCAGGCACAAAGGAGGCGAAGGGAAATGAACTTCTCAACAAGAGGGGACATATCAGGAGGAAGCCTCCGAAGCAGTCTAGAACGACCTTCGAATCCATATTAAACGAAATTAAAGAGGTGGAAAATAAAATAAATGACAAAGGGTTTAACTTGTTGGAAGAGTCCGACAGGGAAGGGAGAGTCGACGATGAGCAGGCATGGGACACTGTTCCCTTCGCTGAGTGTGTCGCTGGTTGTGGCAGCTCGATGGATGGCTACCCCAGTTCGAGGGACTATTATTCCAATTCATATTCCTCTGGAGGGGATAATCCTACCAACAAGGGAAAACCCTCCAAACGAGCACACCGAAAGAAGGATCTCTCCCAAATGCGGAAGAAACGGAAGGGAAACTTTGCTAAGTTCCACTATGATGAGGACAATCTTACACATATCTTTACCCCCATCTCTGTCGTCAATTTTGAAAGGTACGTCACGCACAGGATAAATAGTATCTGCCTCCACAGAGAAAATCTAATCATTCAGCTTGAAAATGGACTCTCCTACTACACAACAACTTTTGACCGAAACAGAATGTGTCCATCTGAGGATTCGAGCTTCTACCTTTGTGGACACACTGCTCTGCACAAAATAAAGGAAGTTAAAGTGGGCAGCAGAAAAGAGGTGTTCACTTTGGACGAAGCTAGAATGCTAAAGTGTTACTCGATTACAGATAACCAGTTGAGCTTTGTCTGCACTGGTAGGGGAATAAAATGGTTCGATGTTCTGTCCATGAAGGGAGAATGCAACTGCTTGTTTGTTGCCCTCACGGATGGTTCCTTTTTTTTTATCAATCTAATGAGCTGCAAGATTCTGCTGTACGGCAGTGTGAGGCGCCACCTTGGGGGTGGCCGTGGAAGGGGATCCATCGAGTGCGCCCTCTTCAACAAGGTGAATGAGCACATCTTCAATGGCTACTTCAAGATGCGCGGGGCGCTTCTCTTCTTCTTCCTGATTCACTCCGTGTCGCACCAGAAGATGTTCATTTACTTCGTGCATGAGGTGCTAATAGGGAGGCTCCTCGCGCGGCTGTGCGATGAGGGGGGAGGTAATAAGGACAGAAGCGATGAACGCGGCCAGGCGGCCCAACTGCTGCTGAGCCTCTCAACATACAGGCGCTCCGACGTCAACATGGACGAAGACAACAACGTCCACGTGGACAACGACGACAACCACGGCAACCTGGATCGCAGCTTCCAACGCGACTGTGACGACTATGCCTGCCTCTTGACGGCCACCGGGGACCTAGGCAACTTCTACCTCCTCTTCGTGCAACTCATAAAGAAGGAGTTCATAATGATGCGGAAAAAAAACTGGGAGACCAACGTGCGAATCCTCTATTGGAAGATGCCTCACAAGAATGTCGTGTATGGGAAGGTCATTGGGAGTTACCTAGTCCTCGTGGACTTCCACTTGAATGTCCGTTTTTTTTACCTGAACAAAGTCACATTTGGGGAAGTCTCCTCAGGGGACTTAAACGAGGTGGCATCCTTACTCTCGGGGAAGAAGACGTCCTTCCTCAGAAGATTGAAAAGACCCAAGGGGAGTAGACGTGAAGGGATGTATGGCCCAAATGATGAGGAAAATGCCTTCGAAGAATTCATTTTGAAGCGACGCAGAAGGAGGAATACATTTCGTCCAGATGGAGTAAACGAAGATTCAGACACCCCTCCAAATGAACAATCAAATGGAGAAGAAAAATCTCCACTGGCTCGTCTATTTCGGATAAACTTAGGGGAAGAAGACCTACACATTGATCTGAGTCATACGGGTAAAGCTCAGTTCATTAACGAACGGATGGAAGGGGACGCTGCACATATCTGCAGCTTCCACATCGTTACGGACTCCAACATTGTTATTACCTTCTCCTTTGACAGTGGGGCATACCCACTTCAGATGGTGAAGCCGCCTGAGGTGGATGTCTCCTCTATCAGAGAAACCGAACGGATTAACTTCTTTCACCCAATGGACATGAAAGGTGGTACATACAATTTGTTCCTCACCAAGGGGAGGCACTTCCGTCTGGAGGGCGCATCGTGTTCCCCCGGAATGGCACCCAGAGGGGGTCACCAAGGAAGCGGTCACAAACGAGGCAACCACGAGCGAGTCACACCACTGCAAGACAACTATATGGGTGGAAATCAACCCAAGCCGCAAGCACTAACCAATGGGGACTCCTCCTTCGAACTCATATGCCAAAAAGACATCTACCCTACTATGCAAGCCACCCTGGCGAGGATAAGTGAAGGGGGCCCATACGCAAGTGACGTGAATTTCTTTTTGAGGCAACCCAGTGTGGTGTTCTTAAAAGTGTACTGCAGCGCCCTGAGGAAGCGCCTGCGCGACAAGCGGGGGAAGACGTTCCAGGAGAGGGTGTCAGTGGAGTGGGGGGTGGCGAGCAGGGGGCACCGAAGTGCTGCCACGAAAGAGGTTCTCCCTGGTGATGATAAAGTTACGTCTTCCGCTGCAGCCACTTCAGCGGATGCTCCTGCTTCTATCACCTCTATCCCCGCTATCCATTTCATCGACACGCCGAGGCACACGAACTTCTTCTTCGACAACGAAACGACCATCTTCACCTTCCTAAACGAAAACGAGTACCGTCTCCCCCTGGAGGAGTGCCTAAACAACTACGAAAATAAATCCTACTTGAGTACACTCCACGCGAAGAGAAAGGAAGAAAGAGAGCAAATAGAAAAGCTACGAAACCAACTGAACGAACTAATCTCCCAAAACGAAAACAGCAGCACTAGTATCAAATTAGACAGAAAAAACTTCTTTTTGGACAAAAAAATTATTAACGAGTCAGAAATTTTAATCAATGAATATGAACAAATAAAAAAAAAATTTGAAAAAAAAAAACTAGCCAAGGAGTACCTAATAAAAAATCTAGAGAAAAAATGCTCCCCTCTCGCACAAGTCGACTTTCTCTTCGGATTAAACACAAACGTATATGTGACCAATGCGTCTAAGAAAAGCAACTACCATCAGTCTTCTCCCATTAGAGAGAAAATCAAATTGCTGCGCTTCCTCCAAATTAAAGAATCGGACTTTTTCCAAAATGTAGAAAAAAATAATATCCTCTGCTTTTTAAAGACAACAAAAGATTATATAGATCGATACACTGAAGACTTTTCTTCTCTCTTCTTTTCTCACTACTACCCCTGCACAAACATGAATTTGAATTATCTGTACGCTAACTTGTTCGGATCCTCTTTCTCTGCCAGCGGGGTGGACAACGTGCAGTGGAATTACCTCCTCTACTTCCCCTGCGAGTTGTTCACGAACGCAAGGAAGCGCCTGCAGTGCTACGTGCTGCAGATGCTTATCGACCAGGTGGGCACCGCGGGGAGAGCGCCGTGATGGGTACCCCCCCCGTTGCTTCTACTGCTCCGGCGGATTTCACCGGTTTCGCCTCTTCCACCGATTCCGCCTCTTCCGCCTCTTCCACATCTTCCGCCTCTTCCGCGTCTTCCACATCTTCCGCCTCTTCCGCCTCTTCCACATCTTCCGCCTCTTCCACATCTTCCGCCTCTTCCGCCTCTTCCATCGCTCACACCGCCTCCATCACAGCAAAAGGCCAAATTCCGGAGCCACTTCCTCGCCCTGAAGGAAGAAAAGAAAAATTACGTTGAAGAAATCAGCTTGGTGTCCAACAAGCTGAAGCTCTCCCTGGAAGCTACGGAGAAATATTTTAGCCATCCCTACTCTCACCTCATCCACCCCGGCCTCTACAACAGGGGAGCGTTAAAAGGAGTGAATAGGGACGCTCTCCCTGTTTCGAAAAAATTCGACCCTGACGTGCTGCTCAGAATGCACCTGCACAAGCTCAAGGTGGAGAGTCAAATGGGGGATGCCTTTGACGAACATGGAAAAGGGGACCTAACGATGGAGGCGCAAAAGAAGGGGGACCATTTTGCCATGGGAGCCAGGTTAGCAGACTGAGTAGAGGGTAGCAAGATTCCAACAAGAGGAGACCACATAGGCGTGCCCCCACCCGCTTATGCCTTCTACAATGGATTGTCCTCAACTTGGCTGTCTTTTATCCACCTGTCTTTGTCTTCCCCGAAGCGAACAAGAGGCGGACAAGGAACCCCCCAAAGATACATCCCCTTGCGAGAACGAAGCGGACCAAGAAAGTGTTGAGATCCACGAGAAGAAGAAAAATGACGTAAGAAATGCGCTGTCTGATGTGAAGAGTTACATGTAAGTGGATTTATACACGTGTTTTTCTTCCTAGTGTGGTGGGTACCTGTAGAGAAATGGAGCGATCCGCTGATTACACATCTCTTCATTATGGGTTTGCACATTGCCGACTATTCTGTGACTCACCCGTCCTGGCATACGCCCCATCCTGTAGCTATCAGATCTCCGACCAGTGTGAGGAGTTCAATGAGAAGTTAAAACAGTTGAGGAAAAAGAAGTAAGACCAAAGGGAGGAAAAGAAAAAATTAAAAAAAAAAAAAAAAAAATTAAAAAAAAAGAAAAAAAAAATCTTCAGCCTCCTTTTCGGAGGACGCCCTTCCCAAGTGAAACCAACCACCGACAGAGAACGTGCCTCTTATGTAGTTTCCCCTTTTCCTCCGAACCATTTGCTGCATCTTCTCCGACACACCCTACCAGATACAACATACAGAAGCTCATCAAGCTGCATGAGCTGTACTGTATTGCCACTTACGCCACGTTAATAAATGAAGAAAGGAAGGAAGAAGCTCTACGCCAAATAGAAAAGAAGAGGACTGCAGTGGAGGGGCAATTGCTGAAACTTGAGGAATCGATGAGACAATTAGACGTACTACAGGTAGGTATTCTATGGGAACATGAAATGGTGACTCCTAAGAGAAGTCATTGGTGTGTGTGTCTGTCCAGGCAGAGTTGCAAGATCGGCCCCTTCTTCTTCTTGAGCATCTTTGCACATCACGGGGAAATTTTCATGCCCTCAGGTTGATGAGCAGTCCCTACGAGAAGAAAGGAAGCGCCTGTTGGAGGTAGAGAAAGGAAGGAACTATTACCCCAGAAGGGAAACCGAGCTAATTCTGCGTACACTTCTCCGTGCACTATGCCGTCCACTTTGCCGCCACTCGTCTAGACAGCCAGACCGCCTCGCTCATTCCATGCGTGTTCCCCTCACTCACCGCAGAAACACAGAAGGAATTTCACCCTAAGTGAATTGCTCACGAGGAAGAAGCAGAAGTTCGAGAAAAGGTTCCTCCACGAGTGCAGCAACTTCGACGTCCTCATGGAGCAGAAATATGAAAACGTAAGTGGGGGAGAGGCCGAAAGGGACTCGAGCCCGGTGGTCCATTTGACCCCCCTGATGAAGATGCTCCTCCTGATGAAGCTACTATTGTTCTTCTTGGCCGAACGTATCTCTCTCCACGTGGAGAAATCTCCACCGGTGTGCCCCCCCTCCTTCCAGGTCATCGGATTCGACTTCGACTCCAGGAAGAATCTGTTCATAAGGAAAAAAATAATCCAGAAACACATTGCAGACACGAATCAAATTATCCATGAGAATTTCGAGCTCAGAAGGAGCATCCGAGTAAAGCCCAGGGGTGGTCCTCTATCGGTGGCACCACGCTGAGTCCTTCCCTCTCTTGTGTCTGCATAGTGCCACGCCCAATCGTCGCCTGTGTCATACCGGCGCACTGCCACGCCGCGTTGTTTCCTTCCCCCACCTGCAGAAACTAAAGCACGAAATTTGCAGAAACAAAATAAAAAAAGACTACCTGCACTTCTCACTCATGGATATAGAAGAAGGGGTCGACGACGTCAAATATCTGAAACAGAACTGCGAGTTTCTCTTTAGTGACATAAGTAAAGGATGAGCCGCTGCAGGGGGCACATTTTAGAGTGTCTGACTTTCTTTAGAAGTTTTTCCCTTTCTTGTTACGATATACACACAGGCGCATGGTGGCACTCCATAGTTGTGTGATTTTTTTTTTTATTTTTATTTTCTTTTTTTTTCGTTTTTTTTCCCCCCTCACATCAGATAATGTGATCAGCTCACTGGAGGTGAAGAAAAAAAACAGGAAACTCATTTTTCAAATGTCGGAACAGAAGCTACGGGAGCAAATTAGCAACGTGGACGCGAAGATTTCGGCGATCGTAAGCGAGCAGCTGCACGCCCACTGCTACAATGATACAAGTCTAACAGAGCTTCTCCCCTCCACCGCTTCTCCGCTTCACTACTTCCCCCCCGTAGAAATCTGAGAACGTCGTGTTAGAGGCCAACATGCGGAGCCTCCTAAAGGAGATTAGCCAAATGGGCAAGGCGACGCAGGGCGACCAAACGGAAGACGCGACCCACCTACTCGAGACGAAGGGAAACTTGGAAGACGACAATTCTGCGCGCGCAGGGATGTCCTTCAAATGCTCTGATGCGGATGTAGAGGGAGAGACCACCGAAGAAAATGAATCCAACATCGCGCCAGATGTAGAGAAACGGGCCGACGGAGAGAACCAACCGAATGAGGCGCCAGATGTAGACAGGGAGATGGGCCAAGAAAATGAACCCAACGGTGCGGCGGAACAAAACCGCGACGACGCACATAAGCAGGCCCCGGACCTGGCCGCCGCTCCGGGAGAGAAAAAACAGACAAAACTGCGCATCAGGGACATCCACGAAAAGAGTGCCTTGCTACGGAAGAAATATAAGTGAAGGAAATGCGCGCCGGGGGGAGAGGCCTTACGCCTGTGTATATGCGCAAATGCTCACATGTGTGTGTTTTTTTCTCTTTTTTTTTTTGCCTTGTTTTACTGCTTCCGGGGGGAGAGAAACGCTGCCCGTCGGTAGCATACCTACACGTAGCACACCCGCAAGGTCTTTCCTCACGCTACATATGCGCGTCCCAGTAGGAATCATTTGCGCTGAGTCCACACGGTGTCCCATTTTGCTAATTTCTCTCCCCAAGAGGCTCCAGGAAAAAAAAAAATGGGGAGTTTCCCCTTTTTTCAAGCATTTTTTCTTTTTTTTTTTTTTCCTGATTCTTTACATGCCATATAGATAGCTTCTAATTTATTTTAGTTCCCAAAAGGGATTCGCATTTTTTTTTTCTCTCTCTTCTTTCTGGGGATCCGCGACTTTCTCTGGTGGGACTCTCCATCAAAAGGCTCACGTTGGCGCCACCCCGACGGAGACGGTTAGGTTGGCTTACCTCATCTGGGCCACTGCAGGCAGAAATTGCGCCAAGGTTGTAAAAGAACTAAAAAGGAAGAGGTATGTAGGAAATGTTCGTGGATTTATTTGAAGCTCTCCCACCTGTCATCATCGGTCACGTAAACGTACAAAATTGAACGCACCAGGGGGGGGGAGGGCGTCACCAAAACGGAAAGTCTCCTATTGTTTCCTATGCCTTCCTATGGCTCACTAAATGAGTATCCTCCTGTTGGGAGATCCGAACAGTGCATCTCTTTCTTGCGCTTCCCTCCCTTTAAATTTCGCGACTGCGGAGAGGGTGATAAAACTGAAACGAAGGTACAGATCCTTTCGCGGACGCCATGAAAGACAACATCAAGAATGCGCTGGAGGCAGAGAGGGAGAAGGAGCAGGGGAACGTCTTCTTTTCCCAAGGGGACTATGAGGTGAAGGCTCCACTGCAGGAGGGATAAGAAGCATATCGCTCCTACAGCACGTCCACTACTCCAATAATTGAATCATCACTGTGTGTGAGCTTGTTGGCACCCCTCATGGGGGACTATCCACTTGACGCATCTCTTTCCCCCCCACCCTTCGCAGTTGGCCATCTTCCACTACACCAGAAGCATAAGATACATGCCAAAGTGCTCCATCCTATACACGAACCGGTCTTTGGCTTACTTCAAGTAGGGACGGAAGCAGGAAAGAGGGGAGGGGCAGAGAGAGATGCTGGCGGGGAGGAATTTTTCCCGCCCATCCAGGGAAGATATGTCAACATGAACACAAAGTCTACATTGCATGCCTCCCAGTATGCATCATTCAATCCTTCTTCACGCCTTTATTGGCCCGTTTTCCCGTTTCCTCCTCCCCCTTGTGAGACAGGATCGGGTCCTTCCAGCAGAGCCTCGAAGATGCCCTGAGAGCCAACGAGCTGGACAAAGATAACCTGAAAAGCTACTATCGAATTTGCGAAGCGTATAGTGCACTGAAGGACGAAGAAAATTACAAAAAATATGAGCAACTGTACAGGGAGAAACAGAGTAGCCAGAGGGGACACACAAAGAAGGACGGAGAGAAGACTGATTCTTCGGCGAAGCGAGTAGAGAATGACTCCCCCACGGGTGGGACTCCACTCCCGAAGGAAACCGCTACACGAATGAAAAAACAGAGGGGTATCAAAGAAAGCGACGAGCTAATGCACCTTGGAGAAACGGACCACACGAACCCATTTATCTTTATGAGTCAACCTGAGATAAAAGACGGAGTATCGAATTTCTCTTTTGAGAAGAAGCAGTACAGGAATAATTTCCTCATAGAAGAAGTGTACGATTTTGATGAGAACAGGAGAGGAAAGGACCTCACCAATGGAGACGCGCTGAAAAGCAAAACAGGCAACACTTCGAAGAACCCTGCTCGTGCCAATGGCGACTCCAAGAAGAAGCTCATAGTCAACCAATCCGACATTCTGGACGATGTAGAACTGTTTATAAACCTCTTTGCAGACATATCCATGCATCCCATCCCCTTCATTTCTGTTCCCATTGAGAGAGAAGGAAAAAAAGGAAACCTTTGCCGTTACCATAATGTCGACTTCGTAACTTTAAAAGGGAAAGCAGACGAGCTTTTCGCGGAGAAGAAATTCGACGTTGCGATGGAAGTGTACAACGATATTATTCGCGAGCATGATAGGTAAGGGGTGCATATATATCTGTGTGCCTGTGTGTGGAGTGACCCCTGAAATAAATTGAGTGGGGTCATCCCCTCCGTGACCGCTTCTCTGGGGGTATACCAGTCCGTCTCACTAGCACTACGTGAGGGGGTCGCCCCATACGTTCATACTACTGTATGCACACCGCTTCCACGCCGCTCCCACACCGCTGCACCAACACCCCCCATTCCACCCCGTCGTAGCGAACGCGGAATATACTACTGCACAGTGCTCAGCAACAGAAGCGCCTGCCACGTCGAAATGAAGAAGATTCGGAGCGCCCTCTGCGATGTGACCAAGACGCTTAGCATCCTTTTCTCATTCTTTCAAACACATATAGAAGATATAAAGCGCGCCATCGATGCAGGGGCCCCCTCACCCGCTGCACACGAACAAGCGGAAGCCTTCCTTCCAACAGACAGGGATGTTTATAAAGACCCCAAGGGAATCTACTCCCAGGCACACAAATTGATGCTAAAGCTACTATTCAGATATGTGAAATTTTCGCACCTGTATGAAAAAAATGGATTCAAGGTTCCGTCCCTCCACCAGGTAAAAGAGACCTCTGCGTCATGACCGTTCGGATGCACATGTGCCCTTGTTTACCTGCACGTGTGTATATCTACCCATGTCTATCTTCCCGCTTCTATCTGCACAACACGTTGCACTGCGGTTATATGAATTTTTCGAATCACTCACAGGTGGACTCCCTCAGGCGCATGAAGGGAATCAACTATGTAGACTGTGGAGAGCTCGAGCGGGTGAGAAACGTAATCTACGCGCAGCTATAACATCTTCCTCTTGTTATATATTTCCTTTGCGTATTGGTCTAGACAGGCGTAGTCCACATCCTTTAGCCATTCGTGTTTCTGAGAGAGGAAGAAAAAAAGGGGAGATCACGGAGGTGCCCGTTTGGTGGACAACAGGCTGAAAAGTGCATGCAGCGCGAAGGGTACATAATGCTCATAAAAGGAAGGAGAAGAAACTATGTGCTATGCCTCTACATAATGCACTCTTTGAGAAAATTCCCCCTTTTTTGTGTCCCTTACGAGCGCCGCTTCCGACGTGGGTCTCTTCCCTGGCTCCCTCCTCAAAAGATTCTTCAAAAAATCGATGTCCGTGCTTAACAAACTATGGCCACAGGAAGCCACCTGTTTTTTTCTGTATTCATTTAAGAAATAATTCCTATCCAGGGGATACTGCACGTGCCCTCTCCCTATATCTCGGAATAACTGAAGAAGGGACTCCTTCTGGACGAATGGGATAACGCGGTAGAACAGGGCGTAGAGGGAGATGCCGAGACTCCATATGTCCACTTTCTCTCCGGAGTAGCACTTTCCGCTCGAGAAGAACTCGGGCGGCATGAATTCGTAGGTGCCCTGCGGGGTGCGCGGTTGGGAGGCGGTTATAGTGTGGGTTCGTTGGGGAGGTGGTTATAGCGTGGAATCATTGCCGATGTCGTTAGCGTAGGACCGCTCGCGAGTCGGCTGGCGTGGCTCACCTTGGTACCGCGTATCATCCCGTCGGCCATATACTGGGACTCACCAAAGTCGCCCAACTTGACGGCCGCGCTCCGGCTCCAAAAAATGTTGGACGGCTTCACATCCCGATGGCATATGTTCTTCTTCTTGTGGAGGTACACGAACGATCTTAAGATACACTTAGTTACACATTTGACAACAGGAAGGGGAACAAACCATGGCTCATCTTTCCGTAGGACAAAAAAAATCCCATCGTATTGGAGTATCCCCTCATTCTCCATATAACTATTCACAAGATAAATTTCGTCACCATTTGCTATGATTTCATCACAAGTCAGGCAATAATCATTTTTTATGTCTGCCAGAATTTCTAATTCGTTTTTTAAGTCGTCGTATTTGGAACGCACAACCACTTGGGTGCAGTGGCTCTTCTTATGAAGCTCCCTTTGTTTGAGTAACACCCTTTTTTGGTACCTTTTTATGGCGTAAAGGTTTCCTCCCCGCTCGCATAAAATTACTTTGCTCAGTTTGTCTGTGAAGGGGGGAAATAAGCAAATTGTACGGTGGCTACGTCGTGAAATGAAGGGGCATTAAAGAAAGCCCCCATTAGGGACGACTAAAAAATGAGTCGATAAAAATTGCACCCTCCACACAGGCATATGTGCAGTGCATTGTTGCTGTTCTTCCACCCAGCCTCAAATTTTTTTTTTTTTTTTTTTGCCAACATTGGGCACGCTTCTCATCGCAATTGTTTCTTTTCCTCCTCTTAGGAATGGACTATTACTCAGTTTTGCTCTTCCTCACGTTTACTCACCTTCCTTGATCGTGCGCACAACACGGTAATCGTTCAGGAAGCACTGATCACCCTTCTCTTTCTTCTCCAGTGGACTGACTTTATCGTGCCGCCTCAGAATCTCCCGCATTGTCGCCATACCCCAGCGCAGATGTAAATGCAACACAGTACAATACAGTGAAGTATAAAATAATGTGACAATTTTGCAGCATCCTGTGGAGAATCAAACCGCGATTTGACTGGACTCGAGTGGACTCGACGCGACGTGTCCCTGCCGGCTGTTCCAACAAAAGGCAGGTGCTTGACCACGTAGGGGAACAACGCACACACGTATTTCTCAAAGTTGGGACGACTGAAATGTATGAACAGTCAGGCGTGAAATGGTAAATTTGTAACTGAAAAAAAGAAAATAAAGTAATAAAAAAAAAAATCTATAACAAATAGCTAGCCAGGATTAACCTCCCACGAATAACCAGTTACATATTCCCCGCCTTTTGCTTCCCCTTTTTGGCGTATTATGGCTGTGCCGAAAAAAAGAAGAAGCTTAAGTAAATGTAGAAAAAGAAGAAATACAATTTTTTTTGACAAACTCGTTGGGAATTGGCTAAAACGGAGGGAGTGGTGAGTCAAGCGCAGCTTTATTTTGTTTTTTCTCATTTTATCTTATTTTTTATTTTATTTTTTCTTTTTTGCTTGTCTTCTCATTGCACACGCGGAGTGGGGCAGTGCCGGAAAGTCCTATGAACAGTTGTGAATTGTCAAACCGAATGAGAAGTAGACAATGCAAGAATTCCTCTATGATGCGATCATGTGGATCGGACGGACCCCCTGGTGGATAGCCCACACAAGGGGGGGAGGAGTAGACGCAATACGTGAATACTTGAACAAGTATGCATTCCCCACGCGGTTAATGTTAATGTGAATTTTCTTTTCTTTTTTTTTCTTCCCCTTTTGGAAACCCCTCTGGGTAGGTTTTTCAGGAACGAGTACCAAAAGGAAATTTTACCCATACAGCAGGAACCGCATATGTTTAAATTCCCGGGTTTCTGGCCAAACAAGTGGGAAAAAAAGGAAAAAAAAAAAAAAAAAAGTCATTTTGAGGAGAGTCCAAAGCAGCTGTCAGCTCACCAAAAAGCTGTTGCATGAAAACGAAACCGACGCAGCAGCGGTTGCGACTTACTCCATGTACCGATTCGTCCCCCTCGCAGATTCGTCCACCAAGTGTCTTCTCAAATTAAAAAAATCGTCAAGTAGTAAAGTGCACAGGGGAAGACAAAGTCACCTCACGTTTGGAACAGAACAATATTGCAAAGGGGAAGAACGTCCCCACCGTCGCAACTCGACAGTGATACCCCTGCGGTGCGTAGTCACATTCAAATGGGCACTTCCAACATGAATGTGGCCAGACAGCTTTGCATTTTTACTCATAGGAGATTTTTGGGAAATATTGTTAGGGGTCCCCAACCAAAGGAGGTACGCACAGCCCAGGGAGGCGGCAAAAAGGAAGAAAAAAAAAAAAGAAAAAAAAGAAAAGAAAAAAAGGAAAAAAAAGAAAAGAAAAATGATTAACTGAATGGTGTCTCTCTGGCCAGTCGTACATTCCACCTCAAGGGGTGCCCACTCGGGGAGATTCCCGCAATATCACCCTCGCTCATCCTCATCCGCACGGCACCAACCCCGTTGTTGTTCACCCCCTTCTCAACAGATCGCCAAAAATGTAGAATATGCAATGGACTTTCTTCACAAAAAGTCGTACACCTACCAGGATTTCAAGCAGCAGTGTGAATCGCTACGAATATTTGTTTACTTCGGATTGGTGGGCGTGCTGTCGGTGGACCTTTTAATAAACCCCTTGAAGTCTTCCTACTGGGATCGTTTTTCCCCCCTGAACATGTTCATACGTTTTTTCCGCTTTTTCAAGAACAGCGAAGATGATATTTTCCGGCACAACGGGAGCGCGTCCTACGACCAGTATGTGCGGCTGATTCGGTAGGCGGATTGGGCGAGCACATGGCTTAGCAGCATGGCTTTTCGCTCCAACCGTCCATCTTCCCAACTTACAACTTCCAACTTGTCCCCTTATGAACGATGCATTTTGGCAAACTTTAAAAAAAAAAAAGGTGAAAAATCAAATGGGTACAAAGACTAGCTGCGTCCGGACGTCGCTCTGCTGCGGCGGCAACTGCGACGCAGAGGTGTTTATGAATACGTGGATTACAAAATGAGGGGTAAAAAAAAAAGTGAAAAAAAAGGAAAAAAAAAAGGAAAAAAAGGAAAAAAAAAATATGAACAAAAAAGGAAAAAAATATGAACAAAAAAATGAAAAAAAAATGAAAAATGAAACGTGAACACAAAAGAGGGTTAAGGAAATAGCAGCTAGATTTCCAGCTTCGGCCACGCATCCCAAGAGGTCTGTATGAGATGAGCGTGACCGATAGGAAGGGCTACGTGTAAGGGCATATTCAAAAGGTAGTCGAGGGAATTTCAAAATTTCGGGTCGCAGAACGGAGGCAGGAGGGGAAGACATGGGCTGGCTCAGCATCTCCACGTGCGCAATAAAAATGGGCAGTAGGTGCAACGTGCTTCGCTCCATCAGTTTGGTTCGCTTCATTTCGATTCCTTTCGCTTCCTTTCCCTTTGTACGTTATGTTCGTTTTCCTCCAGGTCCACTCCACACCGCGCAGGAGTCCCAATTGCGAAGCTGTGACAGGTGCATACGTGGGAAGCACCATATGACGTTGCGTGTCAGCATTCGAAGCAGACATGGGTATTTTGCCCCATTCGTGTCATTCGCACGGAGAGGATGGCCCCAATTCTACTTCTTCATTTGCTACGCCTTTCAATGCATCACTTCTACTGGGAGGAGGGGACACCCCGCAGACACGCCAGGGAAAGACCAAATTGAGAGTTCCTCCATCGGCGTAGACTAGTCGAACTGGAGGAGCCCTGCTGCAAATAAATCACAATGGCCGCGAAGCTCTTGTAAAATGGATATAACGTTCCAATTGGGACTCTCCACACCTGTGGGTTCTAAGTCGGTTCTAAGCCGCTTCTGCGCCGACTTTCCACGTGAGTGTTTCCTTTTGGAGCAAAGCTATTTGGGGTGGGAGCCTAAATTAAAAGGGAGGCACTTATCGTCTCCCACCCCCTCCACCCCAAAGAGGTATTACTTATTGTTCATCATCCCTGTCCTGTTCCCTCCCCTAACCCGATACATCTATGTAGAATATATTTTTTCCCCCTTTTTTCTTTTTTTTAGAATGTATTAATTAGCGCTTCTCGTATCATTTGCTTTTTTTCGCCAGTCAAGCGTTTTGGAAATATAATGTCAAATTCTACGATAAGATCTCCCTTGGTGGTGGGCATCTTTGAAGAAGGCATACCTTCTTTCGATACAATTTTTCTGGTTTGGGGGGTAACAATTTCGTCCATTCGGACGTTTATCTCTCTGTTATCTAAGGCCTTCACAACAAACTGGAAGCCAGTGAGAGCTTTGTCCAGCGGTACGGGGCACTTGTATATTAGGTTATTCGCATCACGCATAAATCTGTCGTGTGTTTTTGTCTTTACTTTAAAAACCAAATCGCCTGGTTGACTCATTGGGGAGAGTTGGTCTCCTTCGCCATAGAAAGTTATTTTGGTTCCGTCCTTCCAGCCTGCCTTTACATCTATGGTTACGAAATTGTCGTCTTCGTAGGGCTTAGAACCCATGAATCTCTTTCGGGTTACCTTTAGCTTCTTTTTGCACCCGCTGTAGAGTTCTTCTAGGGTCAGCGAGAGCGGCACTTCGAATGTCGCGGGTTTGCTGTAGTTGTTGTTGTTTACGTCTGCAGGGGGGGAGGAAGTTAACATGGGGGTGAACGCAGCTGCATGGGTAGGAGAGAAAAGACAGTAGGCACATCCACAGGGTAGAAGCCGCCTCCTGCTGATTCCTGTCTCTTCCCGCTCCCTCCAATGAGCACTCACTTGTGGTGGTGGAGGGTCTGGCCTTTCGAGAAGTCATGTTGACGAAGGTGGAGAAGGGGGAAAAGTCATCGTCAAAGCCGGTCGTGAAGGAGAAGTGTCCGTCGGAGCCGAAAATACGACTGAAAAGCTCCGAAGGGTCCACACCGCTATACACATAGGTATTTCCACCCGTGGGGATGGAACCCTTTAGTCCCTCCTCCCCATAGGCATCATAAATTTTTCTCTTCTCCTCATCAGACAGGACATCATAGGCCTCTGCGATGTTTTTAAATTTCTCCTCTGCTTCTTTTTTGGACTTTACGTCTTTATGCTTGTCCGGGTGCCACATCATGGCTAGCTTTCTGTACGCCTTCTTCAGGTCATTGGTTGTGCAATCTTTGCTCACCCCTAGAATGGAATAGTAGTCCTGCGGAGAGGGGGACAAGTGGTGGTAGTAGTAGAAGCAGTAGAATAGCAGCAGTAGTAGTACTACTAGACATAGTAGTGGTTGTTGTGAGGGAGTAGGGCGCTAAAACTGGGCCTTGTTGTAACGCCCTGGAAGCGGTTTTTCATTTTAGCGCAGGCTAATCCATGTCGCTATATAAGATGGAGAGACCACCACACACACGCACTACGTTGGGGAAGTGTAACTCTTCCTGTTGAGCGGCTCACCTTTCCCATTTTGCGATCACATAAAAAAAAAGGGAGTTAACTTCAGATCTTCTGGGGTGCTTGGACGTATGCCTACTAACAGACGTGTACGTTCACATGTACGTGCGGGGGGGCGGAGTCCTCCTCAAGTTTCACAATTTAATTTGAACCCTCTACGGGGCCAAAGGAGTGGCACAGAGGAGCACCACCGAGTGATACAAAGAAGCACCACAGAGTGATACAAAGAAGCATCACAGAGTGATACAAAGAAGCACCACAGAGTGATACAAAGAAGCACCACAGAGTGATATAAAGAAGCACCACACAGTGATGACACAAAGGAACACCACAGAGTGATGACACAAAAAGGAAAAGCAAAATGAGAAAAGTAGAATAGGTTCACTTAAAATCGCCCAGAAAGCTTTTCCAAATTTTTTTCTTTTTTACCATTGAAATTTTACCCAAATGGAAAAAAAAAGAAGAAAAAAAATCCTTTTTCTTTAACGAAAAAACCGGGACGTATGAAATTAAAAAAAAAAAAAAAAAAAAACGGGAATGTTGGATAGGTATATATTTTACCCATCAGCCATGCGTATGTGCCACTCCGTATTCGCCAAGGAAATACATATAATACATATAGCCATGGATTAGTATACATGCCCCTGGAAGTCCGCGCACGCTGCATGATATATATACTACTTCTTACCATGCGCAGCCGTCGCGGCGGGGACACGCATATAAAAAGGGAATGCTACGGCTTGCACGTAATCCCGTAGCAAGGATTCTACGCTGAGAAGGGCATACATCAATCCGTCCTTCAAATCCACCCACCTACGCAGCATTTGTAAAAAAGCACTGCCAGGAGTTGCGCACTCGTCGCCCCGCGGGGCCCTCGTTTCTGCATTGCCTGCCGGTTGGAAGTGCCTTCCTGTTTGAAGTACCTCCCTTTCTGCCTCAAATACATTCCTACGGTGCGTACCTTTGTACACTCTGGGAGTCCCTTTCTTTCCCCCGCGCGAAGCCTCACGTGTACGCTTAGATCGTGTGCGTGCCCCCCTGTAGTGCCTTGGCTTAGTAGGCGCCATACTAAGGTTAGGCACCACTTTTGCGCTTCATTTGACCGTTTATCTTTTACCCCTTGCTGTTTTTTCCAGATCGGCGTCCATCGGCCGACGTACCTTCCCCAAGAGGGGATTTCCTAAGCGCAGTTAAAACATGAAATGGCTTTGGAGAAGAGGCACCGATCGGCGTTGTCGCCCTCACTTGAGGTTGTCTCTCCTCCATGTCTGCACGGGGAAGTCGTGGCTTGTCCATTGCAAGGGAACATTTGCTCAACATTGAGGTGGTATAACTACATGCGCATATGCCAACAGGTATGCACACGAGTGATAACGTGTGTAAGTCTCCTCTCACGAGAATGTGCTGTACGTGTCGCGTGGGGGGGCATGAAAAAGAGGGTTTCAAAAAGGGGGCATCAAAGTGCCCACAAAATGCCGACTTCGCACTTGCACAGAAGGGTCATTTTATTTCTTACCCCTCCACATTTGAGACGGACAGCAAAGATGAAAACTTGTGATGGAGGGGATCCCCCGCGAGATGGTGCCAATGAGAAGGGGATCTCATCCTTTGGCCAATTTAAACGGGTATTACATTATGGTGGCGGTGGCTATCCCCCGTAAGGAAAGCGGCGTTATAGTTATCTTACAAAAAAAAAAAAAAAAAGAGGCAGCACAAGGGAGGCAAGATAGAGAAGGCAGGATACACGAGACAGAATATACGATACAGTAGCCAATACTGCTGTGGGCATCCCTTTGCTTCATCTGCTCCATCTCCTACATGGCTGCTACTGAATCAGGCGCACAATGGAGTCGTCCACAATCGTCTCGTACTTATCGGTAGAGTGAAACAGACACTGCTTCTTCATCTTTTCTGTGAGGCCACGAATATCCTCGCTTCTCAAATACGCCTCGTAGGAGTCTGTATTGTTCCAGAGCCTCAGCTGAAGGTAGCTGAGGGGCGAGTTTTTCAAATTGATTGCTTTAAAAAGTTTTGTGTACTGATATCCTTTGCTCTTAAAGGAGTGGATATTCAGCTGGTTGTAGCTCTTCTCGAAGTCCCGTATGTTCTTCTCATCAACAATGAATTCGTCCACGTAGATTAAATCGGCATAGATGCCCTTGCCTTTCTTTTTCTTCACATATTCTAGGGTGCCATAAGCGTATCCACAGAGACAGCCAACGAATACCCAGACGAAGTTGCGGTGACCTATGCTGGATGTTCTGTACCAGTGGGCGAATTTCTGCGTCCTCTGCTTCAGCAATGTGAGGTAATCCCACCCCCGCATGGTGCCCTTCTTTCGCTTCGCTTCCGTCTTTTAGAAGCAGAAAAGGAGGAGGCGAGGGGAGAGGCCACAGAGGATGACTACCTGGTTGAGTACTTCCCTTGGGAGTGATAATTATCTGGCCAGCATCTAAATCTTTTCACACATGTGGTCTCTGTTCGGTTTCTTCCACTTGGGGAGTATACTCTTCCGCGGGATTGTAACTTGTACTTGCGCAAAATGGGCAGCTTATTTTTTTGTTCTTTTTTTTTTTTTTTTTTTTTCTTTTTTTTTTTTTTTTAACCGCTGCTCTTCCTCTTAGCTGAATTAAAGACTTCCTCCTTCACGTGTACTGTACCACTGTGCATTTCTCACCTCAGCGCTGGCCCCGTAAAAATGTATTGGCAATTTCTGCGAACGGTGTGTCCCCTTGGGTGGCCTCCCCAAATTGACGAACAACGGAGCGTCCCTCCCCCCCTTCCCACCTGAATCGAATCAGTGCAAAAAGGGATGCGGACCATTTGGAGGGGTAATTTTTCTTTTTCTTCAAAAATTCCATCTAAGGTTTGTAAAGCCCCGTGGCGAGAACACCGTGGGGGAGGTAATATACCACATAAGGACCTTTCTCCGCCCCGACAGACGCATCGCGCATGGCAGACTTATGTGCGGATCTGCTTCTATGAATTTGTCCTCAGCGGGGGAGATAACATTGGGATGCAAACAAAAAAAAGAAGGCAAAAAAAAGAAAGCAAAAAAAAGAAATAAAATAAAAAAAAGGAAACGGAAGCAAAGGGAAGGGAAGCAAAGCAAAGAGGGGACAGGTGTAGCAACTGGGCACTTGAATAATATAACATGTGCTTATTTCTACATATTTACATTGATGTACCTCCTGTCGTGTTGTTGGGCACGGGACTGGGGGGGGACACCCGCGTGCTCCTGATCGGATGGAGCTCCCTTACATCGTGATGGAGTGGAGAAGGATCTTCCCCAGGTTCTTCTAAAAAAGTGCCGAAATTGCCAATTTGGGTTAAGCCCCAGAAGGGGGGATTCTCTCCTACACAAGGCAACCACTGTGAGCGTTTTTACCCGGTGTACCCCCTCCGCTTCTTCTGAAGAACCGTTTCGGGCGATCCCTCTATCATATGGCGCGTTACCCTCTTCGTGGCTTCATGTCCGTACCGTCGTGCACACCATCCACCACAAGGGAAGTAATACCAATGGCAAGAGAAGTAACAGGAACCACACAGGGCACTCCTGCGCGGTGTCCGTTTTGGTAAGAGCTCTCCTCTTGACACGGCAACAACTGAGTTACTCATGCGGGACTAATCCCGATGGTTCCCTTGTGGGGAATGGAAGTACCTTCAGTGCCATTCTACTTCTTCTTCCTCGTTGCGTGTTGCTCGTTCCCTGCTGCTTCTTCCTTGTTGTGGGGTACGGGGGCGCGGTGCACCGGGAGGTTTGGCTCCTACTGGACGTCTCCCCTCGTCTACTTCGTAACCTGCTCGGAGTGCATTTATGGGTTCACTTCAGGGGACACTTTTGGTTGCATTTCAAGGCGAATTTATCGGTTCATTTCTGGGTTCCCTTCTGGGTTCCTTTCTGGTTGCACTTCAGGGTTCCCTTCTGGGTTCCTTTCTGGTTGCACTTCAGGGTTCCCTTCTGGGTTCCTTTC